TAGGCTGACGTCATTTTTGGTGTTTAAACTGGTTCCTAAATAAACAAAGTCTTTCACAACTTCGAACTTATAATTGTCAACAGTAACGTAGGTCCCAAGACGCTCAGGAGTTTTTTTTTGTTGACAGAAAGTACTTTGTTTTGTCCTCATTTACCACAAGACCCATTTGCTTTGCTTGTTTTTCTAAGTTGGAAAATGCCGCACTGACGACGCGGGTGTTCAGACCAATGATATCAATATCGTCGGCATACGCAAGCAGCATTACTCTTAATCCATCAAGAAAGGAAAATCAGAGATTGTAAAACGGTTCTTAATTAGCCCCTCTCTTCCCTTGTTTACACCACTGCGTAGGTACTCGCATTATATTATATTGCATTATCGATGAATATAGTTGATCTCATTTGATTCTTCTTCTTCTTCTTCTTAAGTTAGTGCTATTACGCACTTTTACTCTATAATGGCTGGGGGGCTTATCTCTACCCCACACTTGGCTTTAACTAGGCTAAGAAGTCATATCATTTATTTGTCTTTTAGTTGATGACGGACCTTAAATCAGCATATCTTCCTGAGAGTTCAGAAGTGGACTTGAGGATTGTTAGGGCAGGGTTAATTAGCGTATCAACTTTAGTGAATAATTTTAGAGCTCTTTCTCTGATATATTTTTTCAATGAGTCAATCCTAAGATCTCTATGTATGTCTGTTGATCTAATATACCATGGAATCTTAAACAGTTTTCTGTGGGTAGATTTTAGATAAAATATAAATAAAATAAACAATCATAGTAGTCTATATAAGCCGTATAAACCGAATAAATTATATTATAAAAACTTAGAATAAACAAAAGATCTAAGTAAGCAACAAAATATTTTAAAGCATATCAACAAAATTCTACAAATTGCTGAACAGCCTATGTAATAGCAAGTATAAAACTGCTTAAGCTCTCATCTTGTCGATGTTATGTCCTTAAATAAATGCGTACATAATGCATGATTATCCTTGGAAAATTCTAAACGTTTAATAACATAGCAAAACATTTTTATTGACACAAATTGCTGTCCTCATGTCTCATGCCTACTCCTCTAGTTGCAGAATCTCTCTTACTGTTGCCGTTTTCAATACTTTTGTCGCTAATGTTGTTGCTGATGTTGTTGCTGGTGTTGTTGCTGGTGTTGTTGCTGATGTTGTTGCTGATGTTGTTGCTGTTGGTTTTGTAGCTATTTCACTATTCAGCATGTGTTGCTAACAATCATGTATGTGTTTTGTCCTTATATATGCTTTTGCTCTATTTAATTTTTTATTTATTTTTTATTTTGTTTTCCTTTATATTAGAAACATAATAAAATATTCATAAAGATTTCTTTCACGCTTCGGCATGTTTCAAAATCCCATATTTTACAATAAGACCTATAAAATTGCCACTCAGAGATATAAAGTATGCTATTAGGCGCTGAAATTGGAAATTTAGTTTCATTCAAAAAATGCAAAAGGTTCAAATAATGAAATAAAATGATAAAAATAAAAGGGAATTATTATCTAAACGAAAACAAATCGGATTTTTTTTAACAACCATAAGAGGCAACAATATAATCTCAACTATTAAAATGTAATATTTACACAAATAAATTAACAATAGATTTACAATATAGAAACCCTTTAAGGGATTTCTTTTTTATTATTGTTATTCTAACAGTTGTAATGTAAAGATGATTGCTTTAATACTAAGCAGATTTGTAATTTAAATAAAATTAAATATTTTTATATTCTTATATTATATATTCATATTTGGTTTAAACATTTTTGATTTACAATACCTAAAGTGTTTCTCTGAAATAGGATTATTGAATAAAGGATAAAATATTTTTAATATAGGAGCATGTAGGTATATATTTGTAAGCTCAAACGTACATTTTTGTACTCAAAACTTACATACATAGTATATATTTTGTGATAGATAATTCTATTACAAGATATTGAAATCGGATTACTCACAATAGAAAATAACATCACAACAAAAAAACTCTTAAAAATAGTTAAAGGTAATTAATAACAAATCAATAAAAATATATAATAGTTATCCTAATACTCAATATTTTCTAATGTATAGAGATAGAGAATACATATGTTCTTTCTTCGTTTCTTCGACTACATACATATAAACACCTTAACAAAGTCCATTTCATGGTCCTGAATTGCCAGCACTGCTTTAGTAACATGCAATAAATAGAATAAAGAGAAATAGAATTATTCACCATAGAATATAGTGGTCATGAATTGCCAGCACTGCTTTAGTAACATGCAATAAATAGAATAAAGAGAAATATAATTATTCACCATAGAATACAGTGGTCCTGAATTGCCAGCACTGCTTTAGTAACATGCAATAAAGAGAATAAAGAGAAATAGAATTATTCACCATAGAATATTACTATTGTTAGTGGATGTGGGACTGCAACCGTCGGATCTATTGTGTCCCACTTTGTGTTTAGAGTAGCTCTCTAAGTCCTGTTGCGTCAATATAAAGTAGTATAGAACCTACTTTACAGAATTTTATTGCCTTTGATTGGTTAATCCAATCTGACCATAAGCACAGTTCAACACTGAACTTCGCCTTGTTCTCTTATTCGACATCCAAAAGTTCTTATAAACTGTAAATAGTTTTTTAGTTCTTTAGTTAGTTCGTAACTTTCTGACTAAAATTTGTAATATTATATGATAATTTTATTTATAATAAAAACTTTGTAATTTTAATAATAAATAAATAATTTTATATATAATAATTTTTATAATAAAAAAAAATAAAATAAATAAAAAAAAAATATTATTTTAAAATAAATTCTTATGTTATGTTGAGCCTTTTCCGAGTTTAGTGCATCTGGGCACTTTTACTCTGTGATGGCTGGGAGGTTTCTGTAAAGTCCCACCCATCTCACTTACTAATTTGAGTATTCCTCATCATCTTCGTGAATATACAATGATTGATCTAAGATCTGCGTACCGTCCAGTGCGGTTAGTGATTACTCTGAGATTAGATAGTGCTAAGTAGAACAACCTGTCGGTTTTCGCTTCAGTTTAGCTTCAGAGCTCTTATGTATTTTTTATGTATTTTTTAACAAGATCTATTCTAAGGTCTCTTAGCATGTCGTTCGTGCGGACGTACCATGGCACTTTGAAAAGCCTTAGGAGAGCCTGACTTTGAGCAACTTATAGCTTTTGGATAGTAGAGTCAGCAGTTTTGTAAAATGTTTCTTATAGACACTCAAATATCCAACAGTTTTATATCTGAAGGAGGTTTGTTACCTCTACTCTCCTTGCGTAAATCAAGATACGGAGAGTCTACCACTAATATCGACCTCCGGAGAATAGTTTTTCTTCGCTGTCCATATATACGTAATCTAACACCGCGCTATCTATCGATGGATTGAAGGCTCCATATAATTCCAAATTCTGGTACTTGCAAATACATTTACGCTACACCTAAGATTTAAATTGAAAAGACTTCGAAATATATGTGAATTCTCTCATGGAATTAGTATTAACTATCAGTTGGTATGCTACTGTGTTAGAATGTTAACTGTATAGAAACTAATTATATTAAAATAAGAAATTAAAATTAAATTAAAAAAATTATATTATATATCTGTTCTCAAAAACCTCCGTGTGAATTGGAATTAAATCTATTGGCTCCTTTACAGAAGCAAAATTCTCTGTCCTCTGTCAGTTTCCACTTACGCGTTTCATCTGGGAACTACCCAGACTCATCAGAGTGGTATGAAAATGTGAAGCATTCGTCATATGTCATTTATATTTAAATAATTACTTACTAATTGTACAAGTTTAAATAATATTATAAAAGCCAACTAAAACGTTATGCACACACAATAAAGAAATAATCTTTAAAGAAATAATTTTTGTAAAAATAATATGCAGTTAACTGATAAAAATCTGTACTATTATATATATATATGTATGTATTACAGTTTATTTGTTACAAAATATATTTTGTTTACGTGATGTGATTATATTAATCAGATAAGGTTTTCACAAGCACAAGCATTTCATATGACTCATGCTGTTTTACATTGGTGAACCTAGTGTAACTTTTTCAATCGAGATTCAATTTTAGTGCAATTTTCATTTTCGATTGGTAAATTTGTTTAACACTCAAAATTTATGTATAACACTCGGAGCGTTATAAATGCTCTAGACATTTTGCCCGATATTTTGTCACACACCAAGCTACTCGTAGTAAAACTCAAGTAAAACACAAGTAAAACACAAGTAAAACACAAGTAAAACACAAGTAAAACGCAAGTAAAGTACAAACTGAGAGCGTAACACAAATAAAGTGCTAAATTACGCTTTTTACACAGATTTTCATGGAACAGTGTTGTGTAAAGTCTAGTGACAACACTAGTGCTACGCAAATAAACAATACAAAAATTTAAATTCAAACCAAAACAGCTGATTCACACATTAATAGAAACTTACTTGAAATTTCGACAGGGATGTTACGCTCTTAGATACGCTCATTTAATCGAAAATTTACTGCTGGAAAGCACTTGCGTATACACAGTGTTACTCAAAGTTACTATGATTAGCTCGTGGAATAGACCTACCTATTATAAGTGTTGTCAGCTGTATATATGAAACAGACCTATTATAAGTAAATTCGAATAAAAATAAATTCGAACACATGATTGGCAAGAAGTTACAAGTCATTGTACTGCAACCACAAAATAGAGCAGTTTGACATTATCGTGGTAAGATCATATGAACTTTATAGATGTCCCAAAATAAGAAATATATTTTCTTTAATAATTTCTCCCCGTTACTCTTACGTTTACATCGTTTGAAAGTGAAAAGTATTCTTTGATAAGATCAACACAACCCGCAGTTTTAAAAAATAAAATCGCTTTACAACACTGTTCGATAATGTCATGCTTGTTTTCTCAATAAACTGAAAAAGTTTTCAATTTCTTTACGCCATTGACTTTGGTAATTGCTAGACAATAATTGATTTGAAAGTTTTGTCTTGATTTTTTAACTAATTTTTGAAAATGTCATACAGTGATTTTGAGGAGAAACCAAATAGTAAGTTTATAAAACAAATTTATGAGCATTTTTTGGAAATTTTTTTTGTAATTTAGTAGAGAATACAATATATGTCGGTAATATTGATTTCAATGTATCTGAAGAATTACTTTGGAAAATATTTATCGATGCCGGTCCCATAGGTTAGTACACAAAAATATATATTATAGAAAAATATATATTATATATCGTCTTATGCTTGTTTTCAGTAAACATTAACTTGCCTAAGGACAGTGATAATAAACGGCACAAAGGTTATGGTTTCGTGGAGTATGATTCTAAAGAGGGTGCAGAGTATGCCTTAAAAATCTATAAAGGGGTAAAATTGAATGGGAGGAAGATACATATAAATAAACCAACAAAACATTAAAAGAACGCCCTGGCAAAGTTATACAATAAAGAGTTTTCTTAAAAAATATTTATCCCGTTTAAATCTAATTAATGTTAATAAAATACTTAAAATTTATTTTAATTATTACATAAATTGCTGTATGTTTAAAATGAGTTTAAAAATTTGATAGAAGGCAGAAGTACAATAATAAAATTATTGTAATTACAACCCGGTTTTAGTCGTCTTTTGCGCACTTTTCTTTTGTCTTTTGAAATTTCAAAAGTTAGAAAGATATTCACCACTCTCCTTGATATTACGTTATTCAAGAAACAATATATGATAGCCATCACTAATAAGATAATAGATAATAATAGATGCAATAAGAAATTTCGTATTATTACCACAAAGAAGACGCCTCATATCAAGCCACCCTACGATCAGTAGTAACTCCCGCTGCAAAAATGTGTTAACGGTTAAAAAGAGAATTTGCAAAACAAATGATTTGTCAGTTAGAAAAAGGGTAAAAGATATGTGATAGATATCAAGTATCTATCAAATAATTACAAGTCCATTTATTCTTGTTTCAAGATAATTATGCCAATCCACTCATAGTGGATACTAGTGCTTACTAGTATTAAATTATGATAGTAGTGATCCTAAATTTTCAATTGTTAGTGTTAAAATATTTATTCTTTTTTCCTATAATGATAAAATTCAAAGGTGATGAAATAAAAGCCTAACACCAATTATCCACTTACTGATTAGAACTATTTAGTATGGTCACAGACCGGGCAAATAAAGGCAATTCCATTGCCAGAAATTAATTGAATAAGAGTGTTGGTAAGTGATTTCATATAAAATGCTGAATTGACTATATTACTGATTTCCTTTCAGCCATGTCATGTCACAAATAATGAATGAAAGAACATATATTTATATATAGTTCTTTGATTAAATTTGGACGTTCTAAACAAGCTTAATAGACTTCAACCTCCTTTGGCTACAAACCTATATTAACCAAATGTTTTCGGTGATACTTTAACTTAGGTGTATCGTCTATATCGTTGTATTTGTATTTCCTTTTTTTCAATGCTTATATAGTTATATAAACTAGCGTTAAACACCCCTGGCAGCTCCGTCATAATCGGAAAAAACGTCCTCAAGCTATTCGATATCAAACATGCTGATTTTTTGTTCTGTGATTTCTTCCAACTTATGTTAAAAAAAGATAATTTAATAATTCTATTAAACCTTACTGATACAAATTTTTACAATATAGTTGTACTGACTTATGATGATGATATTGACATTTCTAATCAAAACAAAGGTATCTTAACTACAACATTTTTCTTCCACATCCTTCGCCCCCTCCTTACCCCCCTAAATTTCCACCCCCTTCCCTACCCATGTATTCGTCTTGTGTTTCCTTTCATGTTTATCTGCTTACAGGTCCCGGCGGGTTACAACAACTACAACTACAACATATTCAACTTAAAAAAACAAACAATAGATATTGAAAAAATGAGAATTAAACAAATTATTTCTGCTAACAAACAAATCTATTGAGCATATAAGGCCTCACGCGACTGTGGGCAATTATAAGTTCCAAGTCACCAAAAATGGCAGGAACTTGGATATTTAATGAAGAATTATTGTGTCTAATAGATGTTGATAACAGAGCAAACTCTCGACAAATAAAAACCATACTCTACAAGTTTCTTATCAGACAAGTCCTATTTTATGATACAGATTCATGGATGAAATGGCATTAAAAGCTTTTAAAACATAAATTCTTCTTAAGAACCATGCTTCACTTTACGTTGGCAAGACCATGAGCTTTATAATGATACTGTCACGTTATTGGGTTGAGCAAAACGTGTGATTTGAAGACAATACTATGATTAGAATGTTAAGCACCTTTCTTGCGACATACGATAGCAAAAATTATAACATTCACATTTCTGATGGAAGTTGAAGAACAACTTAGTAGTACCAACTCCAGACAGCAAGCAACTAATCGAGTTGAGGGGGGACGGCTAATTAATGGTGACTAGTGCGTTATCAATCTGCAATTTACAACTATGCACATAAGTAAGTAAGATCAGAATCTAATTGAAAATATTCCTACTTACCAAAATACCATTATTATTCTACGTGGAGGAGCTATCAGCAGTGTCAGATAACACCTTCCAACTCTTTTTCCTACTCTATTAAAATATGAAATATATAAAATTGTTTGTAAAACCATTGAATTTATCACTTTCTAACTTTAAATACTATTAAATCGTTAGTGTGGATGTCTTTCTGCGCCTTACGTTTTCCACAAACTTTTGCTAAATATATGTAGTGCACAGCTTACATATATAAATACATTCCTTTCACTTCTGCTTTACTGTATTTATTGTGCCTCATTGAGTTTTGTTCATCTGGACATTTCTCAGAAATCTACCATTTCTGTACGGCATTTAAGACTACACATCATCCTTCTGCTTCATATACTGCACACGTGTGGAAATCAAAATATTTTCCTATGGATGATTGAAAAACATTATTGAATGAAGAGCCTAATTTAATTCAATTTTCGTTTTCTTTATTTTCTTAGCTGAATATTAAAGCAACCACTGAACTCTATTAGAAATCTTATTAGGTTCTTATAGTCAAAATTGTTAATCAACTGTATTGCTATTTTCCATATTACTATTTCGATTAGATTAGATTTGATTTTAGCGAGTATATATATATCATATAGAATATATCAAATGCTATATATAGTTACATATATATGTATATTATAAATATATATATTCAAACATATACATATATGTACAGTCAAACTTCCATAACCCGGACTTCTATAACTTGTACTTCTATAACTTGAACTCTCATAACTCGAATTTTCTATAACTCGAACTAAATAGAGTGCAACATTGAATCGTTAAACGTTAAGCTTTTACATAAAATACAATATATTATTTAATAATATTAATGTTTAATTTTTAAATGAAATTTGTGCAATTTTCCATAATTCAGTTATGGGGACATATGCAGGGTGATGTTTCGAGAAAACTCAAAACAATGAATTTTCGAAAATAACTCGAAAACGGTGCGCAGGAAAAAAATCGAATTTTACAGAAAATTTCCCTATAAGAAATATAGGTCTCGTCATTGACAATTTTTAGCTATAAACTAGTGTAATCGAATAGATAATAAGAATATTGGAAAACACAAATGAAGAATCGAAAATACGATAATATTTATAGAAGCTCCTTCCACTGTGAAAGAATGTGAACAATGAGTTATAGATAAACTCATAACTTTAATAAAACAAAATGGTTTTATTATACAATAATATAAAAATATCTTTCACTTCTATATAGTTAGTCTTCACGGATTCATAGTCACTTTTCGTATGCTAAGACACATAGCCTTGGGACCAATTGCTTATAAGTTCAGAAAAAGGTATGTGCTTATGTATACTTAGTAACATAATTAATGGTTAGTGTAACTCTTTTCTCTCAGACAATTTTGAAGTCATTATAATGGGCACTAGATGTCTTCAAATGGGATTATTGACAGTTTTATCAGTACGCTTCTATTTAACACAATCTAACAAGTTAGACAAAAATTACAGGTAGTGATATTAGTTTATTAGTAAATCATGCGTAACTTCTATATTTAGCTTTAAGCTGTATGAAGTTGTATTGAAGATTTTTTTATGCACATCTTCGTTCTATTTAAATCCCATAATTTTGTATAATCCAACTTAATCACTCTACATACAAATTTAAAAAAAAACGTTCCCTCTTAAGATCTTATTTACTCCTTCGACTCATCTATAATATGTTAAAACAATCCCATTTTCATTAATGGGATTGTTTTAGCAGTCTTTAGAATGACATTTTCCTTGTGGATTCTATCATATCCTTGATTTTGTTGTAATCCGAAATCATGTGCACACAAGATTGGCTTGTGACATATAACATGCTGCCAAATTCCTTATAGAAAGTTAAATATATATATAGTATATTGACCATTCTTATGCTGTGTGAATTATAGATAAATCTTCAACAAAATCTTATGAACATCAGCTCATGATATCCGATTTTCCGGAAATTAAAAATAAAACGAATTGGATTGAGGATATTTAATTGTTTAGTAAAAGAAGTAAAGAATAATTAATATATAATGAATATAATAAATATAATAAAAATATATTTTATTAATGTTTTGCATAATCAAAAAATCTGAGTAATTCGAAAAACTTTAATTAAAAAAATAAATATTGATAATGACATGGATAGGACTCATTTTGAAAGCTCTAATCCATTTATTAATTGTCGACTTGTCTCGACATTATCTGCTTATGTAGTCATTTTTTGCACGTGGTCTTTAAACTCGCCAAGTGGCTCCGGGACTTAGATTCAACCGTTCTTGAAACTCTAAACGGTCATGATAATGTGTCGCATCAATGTTCTCACTATTGAAAATCAAAGAAAAACAAATCCACATTCTAAATTCTCAGATCAAAAAAAAAATATACTTTACAATTTCTCAAGTGGTATCAAATCGTGACTCATTTAAAAATTGAGCGATTTAGAACAGCACTAAAAATTGGCAGATCAGTGGAAAGTCAATAGTTAATGTTACAAAAAATATTATCTCGAATAGCATGTCATTTAAATTACGAATACTTTCTGATTAGAGGATATTTTATCTAAAAAATCACAGCATAGTTAACTTTATATTAAGTATTATTATTATTTTATATAAAGTGTACAAAAACTGTATAATCTATACTATATAGTAGAAAGTTAATATCTGAACAGATCAATTTTGAAATATCTTATTAGATTAAATAAATCTAAGTTCGATTTACTTATTATTTATTACTAGTAATGTATCATAGTGCCCCAAAAATCATTATAGCTCATTAAAATTTACCTGCTGTCATATAGTCAAGTAGAACGTCATATACTCAGCACAAATACAAACATTTACAAGAGTTTGAATGCTACCATCCTGCTACACTTTAATTAGTCCGACCGGAATATTTTCAATTGACGAATTAACCACAGCAACTTCATCAAGAGTGGTTGCATGGACTAGTTTTAAAACAATTAAATCGTTACCAATACATGTCACCATAGGAATAACCTCTATAGCTTACAATGGTTTTGAGAATGAAAATCAATACAAGAGCTTTTAATATTGTCATGATTTCTACTTTTTAAATCTAAAAAAATAAATCAAAAACCACTTTACCTGTTAAGATTCAATTAATCAGTTAAATTAGCTCAATAAATAATTATCAATTTCACACATAAAATTTATTTAGTTGCATGTACTATTTGCACACTGTTTATATATTACAATTTAAAAGGTTAAAATTATAAATATTAATTAAGAAAATAAATATAACATATTTCTATATATATTTAATATATATTGCACGAATTACTTATAATTTAGCCTCATCAACTACAGTTTTTTTTTTATTCTTAACACTAGGGCTAACCTGCTTGCGACTAGGGCTGGAGTCATTAGTGCTTTTAGAAATTTTATCAATATCTTCACTTTCCTCATTTTTATCAACGTCTTCTGTTACAGTTATTTTTTTATTCTTAACTCTAGAGCTAGCCTGCTTGCTAGTGCAAGGCTCTTCAGTGCTTTCAGCACTTATGTCAGTATCTTCAATTTTTTTAATTTTGTCAATATTTTCTTTTTCAGTTTTAGCTTCATTCTTTAAACGTTGGTGCTCAGTTTGAATTAGTTTACGCAATTCTTTACCCCAGCCCAAACCATCAGCTAATGCAAACGCACCATCATCACAGTCACCAATATAAGCTATATCCCTTGTATTCTTCTTGCTGTCAAAATTCAAACTCGGTCCACCACTAAACCAACTTAACCTGTCGTTATTCTGACCCACTTTAGTGCGATTAATCAGCAAACGCACGCAATCAGATTTTGCATGATCAACAAGCATTGCAAATGGTTGCACTTCTAATGATGTACCCATTATAATCAGCAAGTCACATTTTTTGAAATCCTTCTCTGGTAGTGCATAGAAATCTGCTGGTAAATTTTCACCAAAAAACACAATGTCAGGCTTCACAACGCCATTGCAAACGCTACATGTTGGCACATTATCAGCAAATATCTGATCTTTCATCCATTCCATAGTATATAGTTTACTACATTCCAAACAGTGATTTGTGTGAAATGTACCATGCGCCTCCACCAACTTCTCGCCAGGTATACCTGCGATGCGTTCCAAAGTGTCAATATTTTGTGTGTAATGTCTAAGCAATAAGCCTTTCTCATGTAGTAGACGCACAAAGTAATGTGATGGTGTTGGATTGAAAGTGCCCGGATATAATTCTTTAGCTAAGGCAAAGAATGGTTGGGGATTTTCATTGAAATAATCTAACTCAAATATAGCTGTAGGATATGGTAAATTGTATTTTTTCAAATTATCATAGAGACCAGATCCAGGTGAACGAAAATCTGGTATGCCAGCAGCTGTAAATATAATTTATATTATGTTTCATTATATTTTCTTTTAAGCATATAAAACTTACATGTGGAGATACCAGCTCCTACCATTGTCACAATATTCTTGAAGCCTTTATGTTTCCAGTGTTTTATTAAACCATCAAAAGACAATTCATGAATTACCTAAACAAAATATACAAATATAAATTTATTTATATTAAAATTATGTATTTTAAATAAATATCCAACCTTGTTGACTCCACTGCTTTCATCAACGGAATCATCTCCAGTGGAAAACAAATGTAGCGCAGAAAAAAATTTACTCATCGAGTCCATAATTTTGTCAGCTAAAAATGTTTAAAAGTAAAATATTAAAATGAGAATGATAATGAGAAACTGTGATTGCTGTTTTAAAATTTAAGTTTAAAATATATTCTGGGGCAACGAAGTATACCGCGTACGTTCACATTGACAAAATGACAATGACAAACTGAAATAAATGTATGGAAAATACTGTACTCACTTCGCCATTTTCAAATTTTCAATGTTTGTTTCCAATATATTTTGGCATTTCTTTACCAATTCTAAGACCGTAAAAAAATCTACTACATTAAGACATTTACAGAGTTACACAAAAAAATAATCACCACTTCTAAGGAGATCGACTTAAACGAGATTAACTTTTGTATGGGAAATCTGGCATTAAAAATTAGATTGAAACTAAATTAAAACAAGATTAGTAATTTCATCTCGATGTATACTTTAATCTACTTTTATGCTCACAATGTAAACGCAGTAAAAACAGATTAAATTAGCAAATTAGCGGTACAATACGATATGCAATCTTTATAATTATTACGATCCTTATAATTATTATTACAATATATGGGACGCAATACGGTACACTACGGCTTACGATCCTTGTAATTATAAGGATCCTTTTAATCGATATACGATATATGAGATTGTACTGCGGTACAGTACAGTACAGCTGTAGTTTACGATGTGAAATCTTACGGCAATAATACCGTATTCAAAGCAATTGATTACAATAATATATGTTTTATATAGTTTATGTTTATGTACAGTTTTAATATAAGTACACACATATATTAATAAATACATATTTACTTTATATACAAAAAATATATTAATATTATAAAACAAATAAAGAAAAAGACATTTATCCATTTATATGAATAAATAAAATAATATTGTTATAATACACAACAAACATTGCCAGTACCGTATCGTACGGCATCATACATCCCGCTTGACTATAACGTAAACTAAAAACGTACGAGATTACATCGTACAGTAATCCGTCTATACAGTACAGAAGCTTCGACACACTTTTCACTTTTTACGATATTTAAGCATACTGTATGAATAACCTGACAATCGTTAAATTAATCAAAGGCACAAACCAAAAATTTTAATATTTGACACAAAAAAATTTTATTCACTTTATGTGCCTGCACTTGTCTTTATATTAAATGTACTTGTTTATATTTCATTTAATTTAATACATAAATAAAAACTATATATATATAATTAACAACCTTTGTCCTCCTTCTTTGGTTTGTTTTTTCTATCCGAGCCTGATGGCGCTTCGTCGTCACTCATTTTTGCGGTAATTAAACTTCTTCGTAAAATGAAATTAATTACTCCATATAACCCGTATTTATTAAAATAATTTTGCCGAAACGTTCCCGTTTTTAAATATTATAAAAATAAAATTTTTATTAATAAAACGCAGCCAACCAATTACGTTGCAACTGTCAAATGTAAACACAATTGACAACCATAAAAGCAAATGTCAAAGATTATTAAGATTGCCAGATTATTTAAGAAAAAAATATTGACAGTGACAAAAATTTTAACATAATCGACAATTAATCAATATATATTATACAACTCCGTTATCATGATAACGTTAGCCCACGCGATATTTATGCTGATGGGGTGCCGCCATTTTTTGACACAGCACTGTCGAGTTATTATGCTTTAAAGCTATAAATATATAGATTGGCTATACCAACACAAGTTACTCGGAAAACTTCCGGAAACCATAACCGTGTCCAAAAAATTATGAAAGAAAATATTTTTATTTTACATATGTTGTCTTATCACAAACTAATGAACCGTAATATTTACTTATTTTTCTAGATTTTATTTTTTAGTATAGCTACAATCTGTATTTATTTACCAATTTAATACTATAAATTTATTATTGTTTAATGAAGGCAAATTTAAATTTAAAATTAAAATTAATTTGCTTATTATAAACATTTAATTATTTTTAAAAACTGCGGTAAGCCATGTGTTAGTTAGAATAAATTGATGGTAAATTGAGAGAAATAGTAAATTATGTTGGTATGGCAGCGAATGTTGGTATTTACCAAAATTTCGTGTAGGATAAATTAAATAAAAATTAGATAAATGAGGTCTTACCATTATGAAAAATTTTAAAAGATGTTTAATATATAAACATATTTGAAATGAAAAATAATTTTTAATCAAAAATAATATATAAGTGCAATAAATAAATAAATAAATTTTTACATAAACGCAGTGGAAAAATTCCTTAGGAAATTTCAGTTTACTTTATCTCAATTTAATCGAACTCGCACACAGCCTAAATGATATATTTTTACGAAATCCTAAATATTATTTAAAATAATTTATTCAGTTCTAAATTTTATATAATTTTTATGCAAACCATTTTATAATATTAAGGACGTGTGCGAGTTAGGCTAAGTTGATGCTAAACCAAATGGGAGATTTTTTGGGATTTTTTGCACTGCACACATTTAGCCATTTATCAACACGTATCGACACATCACTACATTATCGACACAACTTAGAATTTCCCTCATTTAGAACGCAACTTAGCCTAACTCGCACACGACCTAAGAATTTACACTGTTGATTATCACATTTTTTTATTTAGTAATATTTGTTTAATTCGGAAATAGAGATAGAAACTGATGCTGAATATTAAGATAATTTAAAATGCTATTAAAAAATGTTATAATTGAAAAATATAAAATTATAAACTAAGGTCGTGTGCGAGTTAGGCTAAGTTGCGTTCTAAATGAGGGAAATTCTAAGTTGTGCCGATAATGTGGTGATGTGTCGATGCGTGTTGATAAATGTCTAAATGTGTGCAGTGCAAAAAATCCCAAAAAATCTCCCATTTGGTTTAGCATCAACTTAGCCTAACTCGCACACGTCCTAAAGTTCATTAATGCAAAAACTTCGCAAAATTAAATAAATGTTTATTTATCGTATATAAAAATGCTTATTAATGTCACCTATATCATATTCATACTCGTACAACGCAAATAATCAAAACTTCAATTGGTATTTTGTTTATTCATTCGATTTTGATTCAAAATAAAGATAAAAGTTTAATCCGATTCCATATAAAAATCCGACAACGATTCATTCTAACTACAGTTTTGCACATTTTTAGTAACAAACTTTTAATTTATACCTTGTTTATTATGACATACAATTATCAATAGATTAAACTTCATAATATGTTGTTCCACGAGCCACTCGTAGTAAAACTCGAGTAAAACATAAGTGAAGTACAAACTAAGAACGTAAGTAAGGCAAATTAAATTATATATTAAAGTGAAGTGCTATATTCTAAAAAACAAATAGAAATTAAAAAAGTGTATAACATTAGTTTTTAAAAATAATTTCTTACATATTTTATTTTATTTTATAATTGATTTAATTTAAAGTTTGTGTTTGTTATATACTTTATTGATAATAATATAAAATATAACTTACAATTAATAATATGTATTTATTTTACGCTAGTTGACACGATTGCTCTTCGCAATCCCGATGATGGACACATACACAAATGTTTCCTTTTTAGCTTTTGACATTCATACAGTGTTGCCATGATCGAATATATCACAGTGTCATATCATATATTACAACTAAAAATTATAAATTAATTTGAAATTCAAAACAAAACAGCTAATTTATACATCAATATAAATTTTATAAAAAAGCAAATGTTGGAGTAACATCTATATAATACATTGTCTTTTCGACAGGAATTTAAAAATTAGTTGTACATTTATATTTTATTTTATTAGTTATTGTATTTATTTTTATTAATTCTTATAATTAATTCTTATAATTATTTGAAATGACATTGAAGTGGAATTTATATGTTAGAACAAAATTCTGTATATTAAAATGATTATTGCAGACGTGAAGTTGTGTTTACATTTAAGCTTATTACATCCCAGTTTTAATATTCAACTAAAAATTTTAAGATTTAAATAATTTTTTATATTATGGCAAGTAAACCTGCTATAAATCTTATATGTGTTACTTTTTTAGTTTTATATACAAATTTTATAAGTCTGGCATCACTATTTCGCATTAAACTCCCGTTGGAAACCACGCTAACATAATTTTCGAAAGCAACACTGATAATTGTCAATATTGTTTTGATAACTTGACATCCATGACCAAAGCCCCAGATGGTTTGTTTTCTTTTCCTGAAAATTTTTTCATCCTTGAGTGTGTGTATTTTTAACTATTAAAGAAACTCAAATAAAAGTTATGAAATTGTTAAATATTTTTGCAAACAGTTGTAAATATGTGGTTGGTTAAGATTTGTACAGAAATTGTGTAATATTGTGAGCAAGTACGTGGAAGTCTGAAGGGGGCATTCACGTTGCGCATTGCAGACTGTTAAAAAAATAATTCATCGGTAAGAAGTATTGTTTTTAATTAGTGAAATTTTTATATTTATATTGCTGTTTTTTTATACACATTTAGGAGTTTTTATATAATTTTAACAAAAAAACGACGACAATAAAAACTGTACTATCGATTTTCTCGAATACCTCGTAAATGATGCATCTCAATCACGCCACAGCTGCAACAGCAATGGCTACCAGTTATCAACATTACCCGCCACCGCAAATATCTACACATGCAGTAACACCAACTACTGTGCAGCAGCAAACAACAATTGCTGCAGGTTTACAACAGAGTCCATTTGCGCTGCATCAGCTAACTGCCGTACAAGCCATACAACATCCAACACATCAAGCTATGCTACATCCGCAACATCCGTTAGTACATCTACTAGATATATCCTCTACTACAAGTACACCGAATCCAACACCCATATCGCCACCTAAGATAGAAGTGCAAACTGAAGAAGAGGTGGTAGTCGATGATCCGCGTAAAAAGAAACAATGTCATGTTTGCAAAAATAAATTTCGTCAATTAACTACACTGCGTAATCATATGAAAATACACACTGACGAGCGACCGTATAAGTGTAAACATTGTGAAAAAGCTTTTCGTCAAATATCAACGCTAACAAATCATGTTAAAATTCATACCGGTGAAAAACCATTCACATGTAACATATGTGCTAAGGATTTTCGGCAACAAAGTACACTAATTAATCATATAAAAACTCATAAGGGTTCGTTCAGGGTTTATCTTCCAAAGTTAAAAAAAGCTTTATAATAATCGACATTTTTTTTTGTTTCTTATAGAGTCCAGTACACCAACGTCATTACTTAATTATCAACCACCAACCAAGCCATCTTCACGTAAGGGAGCTCAGAACTCATACCAGAATCGTACACCAATATCGAAGAATTTATATTCAGGCAGTTATAACTCACCACAAGCAGAAGAATTGGTTAAGCCTTATCAATGTAATATCTGCAAAAGACGCTTTCCACATATAAGTACACTGCGTAATCATGAGAATACGCATTTGGATCCGAAACCCTTTAAATGTGAGTCATGCGATAAATGTTTCAGTCAACAAGCCACATTGGCCAATCATAAAAAGATACACACTGGTGATAAGCCTTACACCTGTTCCTATTGTTCTATGAACTTCCGGCAGCAGAGCACGCTTTCGAATCACATGAAGACGCACGCTACAGGTGAGACATTTGTGCGTTCGACGTTCTTTTTGAAATGTTAACATCATTTTCCCCTAACAAAGCCTTTGTTTAATTTACACGCAATACAGCTGCAGCAACCAACCCAACAACAACCACAACAATGGCAGGAACCGCCCCACCACCACATGGAGGAATCAACATGCCAACCACAACATTAGCAGGGCATCCACAGGCAACACAACTAAATGCCAATATGTTACATCAACAACTACAATTTGAACATCCGCTGTTGCATATACTCGACAGTAATACAACAGTCAGCACCATTGTGCCCAAAGAACAATACAACGCCAACGAACGTGTAACACAGGTAACAACATATAAAGGTGAGTGTCCCGATCGCCCATTTGTTTGCGGCGTCTGCAGGCGTGCATTCTCTCAACACAGCACACTTAATAACCATATTAAGACTCATACAGGAGAAAAACCATATAAATGTAAAGTATGCGAAACCAATTTTCGTCAAGTTTCAACACTTAACAATCATATGAAAATTCATACCGGAGAGAAGCCATATGCCTGTTCCTACTGTCCTAAACAGTTTCGCCAAAAGAGCACACTTATTAATCATGTTCGAATTCATACATGTTAAGCAAATTATAGTTTCGTTAAAGGTTAACTATACATAAATATTATAAATTTTTGCAAACAGTTAACTATATTATAGTATATCTAATTCTATACTATATGGTAAATATACAGATTTTTGCATTAAAATAGTGGTGAACAAATTTAAAGCGCTACAGTTTTTTTTATTATTTTTATTATTAAACACTAAATGTATTAATTTTTTTTTATTATTTTAAAATTATAATTAACTCCACAATATGACATGTTAATAATGTTAACAGTTATATAAGATACAACTTATGACGTATATAAATAGACTCCAGAAACGACCGGGTCTATTTCTCGCAGCTATTCGTCAATTTGGATCTACGTCTCGCACCTGCTCGTCAATGACCAAGAACTGTTCACCATTTCCATACGCGGCTACAACAGCAGGTACGTGCTTTTTTTCACATTTGTCATTTGTATATGTTTTTTCCACTAATAAGCAAGTTCCGACCATCTTGCTTCTTAAATTACCTTTAATGGTCGGAATTAACCTAATCTCGGTCTTCAAAATGTTCCGTCTGCGTCCTTACTATAAGCAGAAATCAAACTTCAGTTCGGTGCAACAGTTAACTGATGTCACCTCAGTCGCTGTTTAGCTTTGCATAGCCAGACCGATTAGAGCTATGCAATTAGAAGATCTGGCTGCCCAACAACTGTCTTCTAACTATCCAACGTTTCCCACAATAATCTACATCTGGCAGCCATTTTCCATCCCAACCGCTAGATACATATGCAGTAATGATTTAGTAATGATTATCTCTGTCTGGCTGCAACTATTGCAACAATGGGTGTCACCTTAGATCTTATTCTGAATTGGGTCACACCATGGTTCCTATAATAAATAGGTATACTTAACTCTGCCCATTCACATCGGTGTACTCAGAATCTTCATGCTGTCGCTCATCTGTTTTGATTACCGCATGCACTCACCAACTTGAGTTCCGTCAAGTTAAAGTGTTTAGGTTTTTTACCTAGACCCAGGTAGATTGGAGTGGCGGCCTTGTTTCCAAAAAAGCCCACTTAAGCGCAAATAATGTGGTACCCATTGTAGTACTACAGAATAGCATTGGTACGTACATAGATTAAAAGATCAGTATACAATCAACATCAAAAAAGTTAATGACTCCCCCATTAGGTTAAGGTAAAGGAAAACCAACCTGACAGTTTTATAAATCTGACTAGGTCCCTAATATTACAGGATAATAGCTCGGTCAGGTTGTTGGATAAAAGGACCTCGAAGATTTTGGGTCTCCTAGCTAAAGAAAGGTACTGATACACCCAAGATTACTTTAATTAATATCCCACCCGTCCTTAATCCACTCTTATTCCCAAACGATCTCCTCCCTTATCACACGTTCTTCGCCTAATCATATCCTAACACATGAATACGTTTTTGTAATGGTTTTTATCTTTATTTTCCTTATAGATTTCTATGAGTTACCACAAAAACAATATATAATATATATGTATATATATATTTCGAATCCAGTGCAACTTTGTAGATATGTCTTTTGTAAATAGACATCTGTCGCAGCTATCGTGTAATTGTTTTTATCATAACCCGAAGAGACCTGCTGGCATTGTCTCTCTTGGGAATGGTTCGCAACACTTGGTCGTCTCTGTACATAATTGGCTCTAGAACGTAGCATTTAACTTATTGGTGACAAATGATTGGTGTTAAAAAATTAAGACAACTAAATCTTATTTTTGTTAAAACTCATATGTTAACAAATTTTATTTTATTTTTTTATTAATGTTTAGTTAATAATTTTATGTTCTATGGCAAGAATCTATTTTCATTAATGTTTTGTTAAAAATGATTTCCTTACAATTACTTATCATAGCTAAGAACTATAGCGTTTTGAAGTGCGTTCCACCAATGCAAAAAATTTACAATATATAAAAACAAAAAAACAAAAAAAAAAGATATGTATATGTATATATCTATATATATATGGTATATATATCTGGTATATATAAGTTAATTAAATTTTGAATGTTGTACACGTTTGCTGATTGTATTGTATTAATTTAGGTACATAATTGCAATTACCTGCCATGCAGCATGTAATGTCCATGTAATATAAGTATATACAGGGTGTTAACAAATATATTTCTGATATTGTAACAAAATCTATAATACATAATAATAATAAATTTACTATAAAATAATTGTATTATTTAAATACATTCATACAATATACATTGTACAAGTATATTAACAAACATAAAGTGTCTAGAAAACTGCGAAAAGAAAACTGATTATTAACGAAAAAAAAAAAAATCTATGTAGAATAAAAATTTATTTTATAAGTAAAAAGGCAAAAATGATTGTATATTTTTATTTAACATATAATTATTTATGGGATTCTTATAAATTTTGATGAAAATTTCTTTGTTTACAGCAATATTATTTTTATATATAAATCCATTATATACTTTTTGTATGTATACTTGTATTTAAATTTTACATTTAATTATAAATTAAATTCAGTGCAAAAACTTTTTATTCGCAATAAAAAGTAATTAATTTTATTTCTTTTCAAATAACATTTACAGTAAAATTTTATTATTAACTGCGAAAGTACTTAATAAAAACTTTAAGTTGTAATTAAATTTTATTTAACTTAATTTATTATATTATTTAGGTTCTTATATTAGTAGTATATAAAAAAGACATTCAATTTAAGTACGCTCTATAAACTATCTAAAAAAAAATGGATAATTACAAAGAAAATATATTCCATAATTTTTGTTAAGCCACTATTACCAATATCTTTAAATCTGGAAATGATATTAAATAACTCATTCAGATACAATTTTCATGATATCACGACAGGCCACTATTTATGCTGAAATTAACTATGATGAATATGACTATCACTCGAAAATTACTTTACTTGAAACAGGATTAGAAATATCCTGTTCTCAAATCTGGAACTATAATTCATTGGTATACGCAGAGAAACTGCGTATTCCACATAATCCTCACTACAGAAGTTGTGGAAACCCGCAGAAAAAAGAAACCATAATATATTTTCTCTGTGAATGCCTGGCTTTGGTGTCCAAAAGAAATAGATTTTTAAAAAGATACTTCTTTGACTTTTCATCGGTGAGATCGAGAGACCAATTAACTTTTTAAAGTTCGACGGGTTGGATTAAGTCCCTACTCTACTATATAAAGGGTTCTTGCGAGGTATGTGGTAGCAAACCGGCGAAACATCGCTAATTGAGGCACATGGAAATTATCTAATGACCTGCCACTGCAACCAACCAACCAGAACTATAATGACATTGCTAGATTAAGAAGGAAAATGATCAGTAATTATTGAATCTGAAAACGAAAACGAAAATAAATATATTTAAGTAATCACAATGACAATGTAGAAAGCTTCCTTCACAATAGATCCGTCGATCACTTTCTTTGTATCATATATATATCGAATCCTTTTGCAATAGAATTAACATCAGTGATCTTGAACATAAACGTAAACTATGTTAACACTCGCCCTCACATATACAGTATCCTCTTCAGAACTATGATTGCATAGCAAGAAACATCTCAGCGTATATCTGCGTGATATTTTCAATGCTTAATGCCACCTTCCTCGTTCAGCAAGAACTATCTTAACCCAATTGAGATAGGAGTATAATCAACTGCTGAACAATCAATTTCCGACAGGTGTCCTAATTGGCAGTCTAATTGGCTGAATGAGAACACCAATTTAAGCGCTTTTGATCTTGCTTTCGTCTTATTAAAGTGTAAAGTTTTCTCCACCTCAGAAATGTAATTCCAAATTAGTTTCAATTAAATCCCATCCACCTCGTTTATTTTTGATCCCAAACAACCCCTCTTTTTTTTACTTATCCCCTAGTTCATATCCTAACGAAGGTTTTTTACGTTATAATTCCTTTTATATTTCCTGCAATATAGATATTTTCGGGCTTCAACAGCAACAACAGATTAAACGACGACATCTTAATATTAGGGATGTAACAGCAGCCAGAATTTATTGGAACCAATATTACCCAGCGATACATGAGAACAACTAGTTATCTTTAAAAAAGTTTACATATAATTTCTAGGCAGGACTTCCTGTGCACGCCGGTTTGACAGCAGATGACGTGTTTACTTGTTATTTGTGATTGTCATATAAAAAAATTGTGGCTTTAAAGCCATAGATTTCGAAAACAAAGCTATATTAACGTAAAGCGTGAAAAAAGTTGTTCACAATAGTTGGTTTTCCTATAATCCGTTGTCAATTATGCTCGAAAGGTCGAAATCGTAGTCTTTTTCTCTCATAAGCTCTTAAATAATCTGCTGCCTTCTATGTTTTCATAGGATTTTCAGCCCATTCAAACTTATCACCGAAACCAATATGAGCTTAAAGAATTCAGTTGTGATTCTGGTACAACATTATATTTATTTACCCTATACAGATAGGGAGTCCAAAGCTAATAAACGAATTGAACGTTAACTGTGTATAAGGTAATATAAACATTATCAATAGTGAAACTATAAATCGGAAAGTTTACAACTTTTGCTGCACCTTGTATCTAATAACTATTGCAAAGTAATCTGAAGGAATAGTGTTGAGATAGTTATTAGATATTAATGAAAGCTGTGTTACAACACAAAGAACAAGTCTAAAATATGATATTAACCTATATTAGTACTACGAAGCTTTTGGTATGCAGAATATAATTCTGTTTGGTGCCCAACAAAAGACTAATTGGATCAATCTAGTAATTCGTAATAATTAATCTAGTAATTTTGACTGAATCAAACTAAGTAGATGTTATTATAGTACAATTATATTATATTGATATAGACTACAATCTTGATAAAAACGAGTTGAATGAACTTTAGGTAATAATGTGCAAGTGTTTCAAACGTATTTAGGCAAAGTTTCTTCTGGACTCCAAGTTCACTATTATCAAAAGACATCTTCTCTCTGTTATTACTTCTTGACCCACCAAGTGTCATGTTAGCGTTTCGGCATGGCATTACGTTAATTTCAGTAATTCTATTAGTAATTCTAACTCTATCGGCCAGATGGAACACAACTTCTTACTTATGTGCCGGAAAGATAGGTGGAACACTACTTCATAATCCAATGTATTGCCCTCTTTAACATCTCTAATATAACCTTAGATGTAGTTCGTATTAATTATTATGGTTAAGTCTATGATAGGTAAAAAAAATTATTTTGTAATGTTCTCTGGATTCTGCACTGAGTATCTTTGACTTGTGATGACTTGATAGAAAATTCATAACGTTTTCACTGAAATATTTATATCGAAACCCAAAACTAAACCTTAAACCTTAAAGACTAAGACATCATTCTAACTTAAATCTATACTTTAAACTCATCACTAAAAAGACTGAGTTTCATCAACTATAGAGTTAATATTAAGCTAACAATATTAAAACAATTTTCAAATAGTTACGATATATATTCATTTATGATAGTCAAATAGGTAACCGATTTTTTTTTTGAACTAGTGAAATTATCTAAAGGAATCCTTCTTAAATATATGTCAGGTTGCGTGCTTGCGTTAGATACGAATAGGTGCGACGAAGTCATACTTAAGCAAAACATCTCAAAATAATATCATTTAAATGCTCTGGACATGGCAATACATCCTTTTTGGTCCTGAAAGGAGTAAGCGACCCTTTATAGTTTCAAAAGTCGAGTTGACACTTGGTTGTGTGAGCAGCTAATAAAAGACAAGTAATTCCTTAATGTAAACCTGTTCGCACTTGGAATTTAGGCTATAACATGAGAGAAACGTGAATTACTTAGGAGACCTCTCGAAATCTGTGTTAGAACAACATTACAGAAACGTCAATAAGATGAAAATAATTTTGAGTTATTTTCTTGGTAGGACCTGTTCTTGGACCTGTTCTTACCTGGAATTTCTTTCTCTACAACATGAGGGAAACGTGAATTATTTAGGTGACCTCCCGAAATCTCTGTTAGAAGAACATTACAGAAACGTCAATAACATGAAAATAATTTTGAGATATTTTCTTGGTAGTCTATAGCGACAGGTAGCTCCGGGAAGTAGATCCGGTCGTTCTTGGAACTGACATCACTTATCGTGGCATTTGGTCGTCTCCGTAGGTTAGATGAGTTGAAATTGCTAATCTTGAAACTTTTTAACTAATTGCAGCACTTTCTATTAAATAAGACAGTATTTATTAACTATTCATATATATTTTTTTTGTAATAACAAATAAAACATTATCGTTTTCTCTAAATATATTTTTCTTTAAAGTAAGCAGCTATTTTTTCAATCTTAAGATTAGCGAATTTATAAATCTTCGTGTATACAAATTGCTATATATTAATTAGTTTATAAAAAATTCAGTGTACATAAGTGTTTAGTTAATTAAGGATTATAAAAAAAGTGCTTGAATAAAATTTATAAATTTCACACAAAAAAGTAAAAAAAAATTTCAACATTGATTATCAATTTTTCATTATAAGGTTAATAATTTTATGTATATTGACAGAATCCCAAAAAATGTGAAAAATCATGGAATTGTTATATTAAACTTATGTATGTATATACAAATTAATTCAATAATTTTTAGAATTATATTTATTATTCGTCTTAAATGATACATGTCAGCAAGTCTACAAATTTAGTGCATTATATATAAAATATTGCAAATAATTTTAGATTAAATAATTTTACAAAGAAATTTACAAACTCTTTTAATTTAATACTAAAAATCTTTCTATAGTGGAAAGGATATATAAAGTTTGCCGTCATAGATTACAGTAATAAATTTTGAAAATGATCAAGCAATGAAACCGTATTTTATAATGTGTATTATACCGTGTAATCAATAACCTGAGAGCATATTTATCTTTGAGGCAGGGTTCTATTTTTTCATAAGCCATATGGAAGCGTATTAAATTTCATGCAATATAGACATTTTTTTTTACTTAAAAAACCATTTTAGAATAACATAACATATTACGCTGATCACACCATATGCAACAGCTTTTACTACAGAAGACTGCGGTACTGTACTAGGTAGCCCACGCATAAGTTTCGAAACTGCTACATCCGTTTCAGTAGGATTTTTCCAAGTCGTAAATGGCGGTGCATATTCCATACGTTCAAGTTTAAGCTCTATAATTCTTAATTGTCGGGAATTTTCTTCTAAAGTTCTATTGACTTGATCCAATGATGTTGCCAATCTATAATTATAATATTTATAAAAACAATTATAATTATTATAATTTTTATAATTTTATAATTTTTACTTTATGCATGATTATACACATACCTTTTAAGAGATTTGTCTGTCACTGCATTCAACACCACTTCATCATTCGATTGACTTGAGTCCGAAACATTTTGTTCTGCTTGTATCATATTTCTAACTTTACGTTGTGCTGTGATTACAGGCATTGGTATTGAATCAGTGACTACAACATGCATTTGATCACCACTAAGAACACTTGTAGTACGAACCAAAGGCGCTTGGTGACGGGTTTTTGTTAATACTTTATAATTGCATTCGAATTGTTTAACGTCATTCCGTGGATCCCAGGGACGTAAATCGGCATATTTATAAATCCACTAGAAAAAAGATAATTTGTGTAAATTATTAAAAAAGACATAATAACATATTCTTTAGAATTTAATTTTTAATTTCCATAATAAAATAAAAATAAAAAAAGCTTTACGACCCGCTTCTGCAACCTGCTCAGTACTACAGTATCGGTGCTGAAAGAAAACTGCGAACTACGAAGGCATGTTATGAGACACTAGTTCTACATTTGTTGTGATTGTGGCACTAAAGAAGAGGGGGAAGCCATGTCACACCTTCTATAGCAATGTCCAACTTTATTGACCTGAAAGAGTTGGCATGGCAAGTTTACAGATTTGTCAGATTGGCACATTTTCACTTGAATGAAAATCATGCTTTTCAGCTTTGTCTGTATGCTGAACACTGTCATCTTTTTTTAAGGTCCGTTCTGGTCTGCATATGAACATGGTATCTATTGTATATTCTAGACTATCACAACAGCATATTATGTGAGCTCTAGTGGGCTTTGATGTGCAAAACTCCTACTTCAACCTAACCTAACTTAGAGCAGCGTCTTCTTCAAACATCTTCTTCAAAAATAAAAATAAATTAAAAAGCATCTTTATATCTCATGCTATGATAAGAAATACTGTTAGATGTATTAGACCTACTACTTTATTATTTTCATTCTCAGCAATTTGTATTTGTATATTGTGAAAACTCTGTTAATGGACGTTAACAAAAATAAACATATCTATTAGCTGTGCAATATTACTATAGTCTTCTGTTATCATTCTAGTTACAAAGTACTTTCTTTTAAATAGTACAATTATAAGTTTCTCCGTCTTGATCCTGGTTGGCTTCAATTTAAATGCCCCCCATCTCTAATCCATCTCTACTACATAACAATCCCTTCCTCACTCACACAACCATAACTCTAACCCATATATTCGTCATGTAATTCCTTTTATGCTATCTACTTTACAGAACTCCGTGGGCCACAACATAACAACAACTCCCATCGACGTGCATTGTATAGAAATACAATGTATAAGAAATCGACACTTACCTGTCCAGTTAAAATATCCTGTTGAAAATGTGCAGGTATCCAATTAGTTAACATCGCTTTTCGTTCTTTAGCACCATTTCGCTGTGCTTCTTCAAGCACCGTCTTTTCTTCAGTAGCAGCAATTTGATCTTCCCTTTTTATAGCATCTGACACATGTAGCCATAGTTTTTCTGATTCAGTAGGTAATTGCGCTTCCAAAGGTACAACATGTCTTACCAAGCGTTTCATTTTTGTTTCCTTATTTGCTGCAAACAATAATGTTTCTTCAGAACTTTTTGTATCTTTAATAAAGATTTCCGAATCCCAATGACCTTGTATTGAAGCTAAAGTTTCTTTTCCTAATTTTATTTTACCAACAACTAAATTCGTGTGATCGCTACCACCTAAGAATGGTCTAAGTTTAAATTCTAATTCTGTTTTGTATCCTGTATTCTCGCAATCTATATTGATTTTGCCACCTAATTCCATTGAAAGTGTGCCCATTAAAATTCCCTTACAGTGTGCATAAGGTGTGGTTAACGTATAACTTTCGCCACGTGGCAGAAGTGTAAGTGTGGCAACACCTTCAAGTACAGCTGATGTACTGTTACCATAAAATTTTGATTTAGCCAATATAGAGCAACTAATACAGAAACCATCTTGTCGATTAGTTACATAAAATGCCGACACTGGCGGATGATGTGAAACCTGTTCAGCTATATAATATGTACGACTGCCGTTAGGATGCTCCCAATAGCAACGAAATGTTTCTCCCAATATAGGATTATAAGGCTTCTTTAAGCCTTTGGGTTTCTTATAAAATCCTGATAGATACCATTCAACAATCATTTTCATACGTGTAAATGGATCATCTTCTTCGACAGCCCTAAAATTAAGAAATTATTGAAGTGAATATTTTGTTTATAAGAATGAGTATTTTATGTCACTAACCTCGACAATTTATCTGCATGATAATATGAATCAGATAATTTATCCAAAAACGAACGTGGTTCTAAAATAAAAGTAGGCAAAACCACCTTACTTAAATCCATGCCTGGACGGACTTGTTTCACCAATATCCATATTAAGCTCTTATTTTCTTCAGCTAGTTCTTCTACTTGCTCACCGACGTGCTGTACAGTTAGAAAAAATTTTAGATACTAATAAATTATCATATTAAGAAAAGTACCATACCTGATTAAACTCTTCTTCTATAAGCCCCACGTAACGTGTTTCTTTTGCGCCATCACACAGTAAGTCTCGATCATCTTGTTCTAAAGCATCTGAATCAGTTTCTCCTGACTCAGCGCCCGACATTGGAAGATTTCCACCTTCATTTTGACTATCGGCATCCAAATCTGTATGACAAAATTAATATATTTAAATAGTACACAACAATATATTTGTATCTTTTTTTAATGATACTAATGATTATGGTCTATATTTACTTAGCACACGCTTAACGTAAGAACCTAAGCTCATTATTGATACATTTTACTTGGAATTTCTAACTTTTTTTTGAATTTATTCTCACATTTTCCAAAGAGCGCGTAGAAACCATTATGAATCTACGGATTTTTAATTTTTTTTTAAATTTAGTTTTGTAAATATTGTAAAGTGAGCACAAATTTCCTTTTGCCATTTATATATACTTATTTTTGCTTTCAATATCTTATCTGTAAATTATCAAGGAAGAAGTGATATCTGTCAAAATACAATATGCTACTTTAACTTTTTAGAAAAATTAACGAAAATTCATATAATATTAGAAAATATTATTTTAATGATGCTAATGATATATGGTTTATATTTACTTAGTATACGCCTAATGCAAGAGCATAATTTCATTCTAAAACATTTTACTATAAATTTTTAACTATTTTTTGAAAATTTATTCTTACATTCTTTTAAGAGTTCGTAGAAACCCTTATAAATCTTCGAAATTTATTTTTGTTTTTTCAAATGTAGTTTTGTAAATATTGTAAAAAGTCTATAAATTTTTTTTGCCGTTTATATATATATATTTGTTTCGGCTTTTAATATCTTGTCTGTAAAAATTCAAGGAAGATGTGATAGATGTCAAAATAATATATAATTAGTTCAAATTTTTAAAAACAATTTTTCACAGTTAAAAAATATAAATATAATACATTAATATAATATATATATATATATATATATATATATATATATATACATTGTTTAATGTATATACGGCAGACATCCCCACTTTAAGTCCCACGTCAATGGCGCTTTACGCAGACGACACGTGCTTGATCTACTCGGATCGGGATGCCATAAATGTAAGCAACACTTTACTTAGAAATATAGACCTTATGGTGGAATACTTCCAAAAATGGAAGATTAAAATTAATAATGACAAAACCAAGGCTATATTTATAACTCGAAAAAGAAGACAGCATCCTCCAAGAGTGAGCGTTTGTGACACGGAGATATGGTGGGAGAATAGCATAAAATATCTGGGGGTCACTTTTGACAAACGGTTCAATTGGCTTAAACATTTGAAATACAAACGGAATAGCTGCTCTAAGATTTTACATTTATTAAAGCCGCTATTTAATAATTATCACTTCAACTTTAAAAACAGAAAGTTACTTTATACGCAAGTAATTAGACCAGCACTACTGTACGGATGTGTTACATATAGCAAAGCCTCAAATACTACCATAAAGCAATTACAGACTGTTTAAGATTCCATGGTATATTAGATCAACAGACATACATAGAGATCTTAGGATTGACTCAGTGAAAAAATATATCGGAGACAGAGCTCTAAAATTATTCACTAAAGTTGATATGCTACTTAACCCCGCCCTAACAATTCTCAAGTCCACTTCTGAATTCTCAGGAAAATATGCTGATTTAAGGTCCGTCATCAACTAAAAAACTAATAAATGATATGACTTCTTAGCCTAGTTAAAGGCTAGTGTGGGGTAGTGATAAGCCCGCCAGCCATTATAGAGTAAAAGTGCGTAATAGCACTAACTCAAGAACAAGAAGAAGAAGAAATATAATAATTTTGAAAAAATAATTCCTAATTTTCAATTAAAGAAGATACACATCTAAAATCAAAGTCGTTATATTCCTCTCTATTACTAAGAATAGATTCGGAGTACAGCGTAGGTATATCATTATCCAAATGAATGCTGTGCCGAAGTAAGAGCCACCAAATTTCAAGTTGAAAACTTGTTTAAAAATATCATATCGGGTAATATAACTCTTAAAAATGAAGAAGAAAAAAGTTAACTATCGCTTTTAGACGACTAAGTTCATTCATAATACAATATTGTGACAGTAAAAACGAGCTAACATAACACGTCGGAAGTGAACCCAAAATTATAAAGAATACTAAACACAGCAAGAATAAATTAATAGTATCAAAAACCATGAACTGTCCATACTTAAAACTTATTTATCACGCAAGAATATGTCTGCCCTATCCTCGTAACTGCAACGGTATTCCTCATGATATACAACATTTATCTTTATGCCCAAAAATTATAAAAAATGGTGGTCTTCATATTAAGGTGGTCTTACTTCGTCAAGACTACGTTTAGATTTAGCATTCATAGCTATCCGTTTCTTTACTTCTACACTTCACTCCTTCACTCTATCCATCTCATTCAATTGTAGTTATTTGTCATCTTTATATGCGAAGACGACGAAGAAATAGATAAAAAGAACACGAAGAAAAAGTCTATATTCAAAAGCATGACAGCATTGAATAATAGAGTTTCCAGTTACCTTAGATAGCAACAACAACAAGAATAGTAGGTATAAATAAAAACGAGATGAAGAAGAAGCAGAAGATTGTAATCCCAATAATCGACACTCATCAAAACCGAATGCTTGATGTTTAGGTCAGCGTAGGCTATACAACAACAAGAATATTGTTATCCCAAACAGAACTAAAACTGAAGAGATAATCGTAGTTTTGTTCTTTCAAGGCCTTCAATGAATAGGTCACAATATGATTACTAGATTAGTACAAAATCGATATGTAGTAGGCGAAAAACTATATTACCGTTCCATGAAGAACGAGCTTGTGTATACTAGAAGTGCGGATATATATTACTACGATCTTTGTCAGTACACACACTTGACAATATAATTTAATATAATAATTTAAAAGATTGCATATATGGTACTTATAAGCTTTTTATATATATAAATATATACATATATCTAGCGTAAACTAAAGATGAATATATGTATGATGAATTAAGAGCATACAAAAAATTGTATTGCAAACCCTTTTTAGTCGCGTTTATTGGTTTCGTTATAAGTGGTGGAGCGCTAACGGGACGCGATGAACACGATATAATATTTTTCTTTAAACTTTGACTGAAATGAATATCATCTTCATCACTTGAAGATATGCCATTTCGCAACGTATCCAATGAAAGCGATTTACTAAAACGTCTATTTCTTATTTTAAAAGATTCATGTGTGGGCAATGGATCTAATAGATACGGAGAAAAATCAACACTTGATGATTCACTCAAATCACCAATGGAATCCTTCGGTTCATTTTTATACTTATGTGTTCTACTAAGATCAGCATATTTGCACATTGTTAGATAGAGTTGTTGAAATATTGGTGTTTGAGTACGCGGTGATATGTTTCTGTACGGACTATTATTTGATCTATTTGCAGAATCCATACTGGGCACCATAAGAAATTGAGATGTGCCTTTTTGTGTTCGTTTGTCCGATAATAAGTCTTTTGCAAGTTATGTATGCATTTTTTTAAATAAATTTAGTAATTTTTTTAGTTTTTTTTATCAATAAAAGATATAAGAAAATATTTAAGTTAATTATTATAGCTTACCATGCTCATCGAAATGCTTTTCATAATCAGCTTCTGACCATTGTGTTTCATGCGATATCTGACCGCTATCATTAACATTAGTACTTTGCCAATTGCCTGTGTTACTATTCGAACGCAACAATAAAGCCGAACAACGTAGCGAGAGTTCTAGTGCATCCATCCAACATTTACCAGCCGCCTGACTTGGTGCACGAAATATCAGATAAGCGGTTGGTAGAGGTTGAACGACTGCCCCTATTTAAAAAAAATATAATTAGTTGCCATATAAAAATTAGTGATATGGAGTTACCTATAGTTTCTCTGTCTGGACCACGTGGTGCCCATATAGACTGTTCTAAGGGATGAAAAAGTTTAAAGCAGAAACCATCTTTTTTGCTGGGTCTTTCAATCAGTTTACATGATGTTAGAAGTACAGTTCCAACCCAGTGACTACTTTTTGTTTTAGGACTTTTGTAGATAAGTAACAGCCCGGGCTTTAACACACACCACAATTTTGTCCATGACTTTAAAGTACCGCGAACCTATGAATAAAAATAATAAATATATGTAATGTAAGAGAGACTAAGGGTATTATTATGTAAAGGAAGAAACATTTCCTATATAAATATTTTGTAAAATTATTCTCTTCTTACTGGTTTTACTTTTTTGATGCAGTTAACTGTCACGTTAATTATTTTTTTGTTTATTTTAATGTTGTTTGATTACACTTTGAGTTTTGCATAATGTGTTTATTTAAGCTAAGTTGAGCACTGACTGATTGCGCGAGTGAAATGAATTGACCTTCTATATAATAGATATTGTTTTTATTTAATAGAGCAAGTCATAAGCAATGGACCATTTTTGATGTAGAAAGGATTTTTATTTTATTTTAATTTTTTGATTTCTCCTAAATAAAAATTAAAAAAAATCGTATGTATTTCTTTGACAAAACATAAGATTATGTATCAAATATTTTTACAGAAACAAAGTATTGTTAAAACCTTTCGTGGGTTTTACGACAACTTAGTTTTTAACTGACTGACACCGATAAGGCAGCAAACAAATTGAGCGACTAATAAACACATGTCGAAGAAAAATGATACATGAAGTGGAAACCGCTGAAATAACATGGCATGATATCAAAGTATTTTCCTATTTATATTTTATGAATAAAAGTAAATATTTATAAAATAAAATGTCTTCGTAATGGTGTTATTAAAGCTGTTATAACGATATTTTGTTAGCTGTTAATAAAACGTTGTTAAAACTGAACTGAGTAATGAAAATAGTTGGAATGGTTCTCTGATCAACAAAGAAACCTGAACAAGTGTTGCTGGGCTGGGTCTGAAATACTCAGAAGAGCTAGATAAAACACAACTATATTTCAAACAGAATTTTATGCGATCGACAGACGTACATAATTAACCTTGAACGTAGCTAATAAATCCATAAATTATCTATCCTAACTGATAGCCACGCTCTTAATTTATATCAGAACATCAAGGCTAGTGATGGAGTCTCTTAGAGAGATATGAAACCTATGGGACTCAGGTTACAATGGAATTTCCGGCGACGAAATTGTAGACAAATTTAGCAAAGAATACTTAGTTTTACTAAGTAAGTCTTATGTTGAATTAGTGCACCTGGGAACTTTTACTCTTTGATAGCTGGGGGATTTTTGCAGAGTCCCGCCCTCTCGCTGACTGAATTATATATTCCTCAAAAGCTTCGTGATTATTTGATGATAAATCTAAGATCTGCGTACCGCCCCGGGCCAAGTAAAAATAACTTAAGAATAATTCCAAGAATTGAGTACGGCACTTTACAAAACTTGAAACTTACTGTAAAGGCATTTGTGGGTTGTGTAGTGAAAATTATAAGACCTCATATGACATGCTAGAGGGTTGCCCAACACTAATGCATAAACGAAAGAAGTACCTGTGGAGCATCTCATATCGGATAAAAAAATAAAATTCTGTTATATAAATCCAATACTACAATTTTTAGAGAAAACTTGACTTGGTAAAATACTCCAAATTCATAAACAAGGCACAATAAATGTCTAGATTACAGTACAAATTCTCAACTTTCTAAAAAAGAAAGTAGTTTATTAGTATGAACGCATATATTAAACTTAATTTTAAAAATTATTTTTAAAATGACAGCAAATTATAGGCTGTAAGAAAAGTGATCTTTAGCAATATTATAAATTATATAGTTTAATAAGACAATATTAATACATATTAATACAATATTAATAATATAAAACTGAACTACAGCAACAAAAATTATTTTTATACTATTTTCAATCAATTGAATGCTGTTGAAACACTGACTAAACAGCTGTTTCGAGTATTGTCAAATATCCATCTTCAGTGATCCTGGAATTATTTATTATATGTAATTATTCTAAAGAATTTTTTGAGATTACAAGTATCAAGGGTTGAACTCGTACCCTGTCAAATTTGAACCTCTCAATCAGCTTTCATTACCCAACCAACCCAAAGCCGTACTTGATTTGAAGAAGGTCCAGAGTTTTACATGGATACCAGCCGTAAAAGCTTAAAACCTCGCTGTTCTTTACAAACGCATCGGTATATTGCGCCGATGAACGCCCCGCCCCATTGGATACATTGATTTGTATGTTCGAACTTGTAGTTTTTTGTTAATTTGCTGTGAAAGTTAATTAACAAATTCATTTCCTATGTTTTATTACAGCTGTATGGTCAGCTAAAAATTCAATTAATGAAAAACGTTAAAAAAAATCTTTGTTGTTGTAGTTCACTACTTTTCAAAACCTATCTATTAAGTACAATAGTTTCTATTAAGTAAAATAGACTGACGTTAAATCACAATTTAATAAAACAACTGATATTATCTTTTGGTAATATGGTATTGTATTTTTCAGTAAAAGAATATAATTACTATATTGCATAAATAATTTTATCAATATGAATATAAGTTACACATTTTTAATTAAAATAGATATCAGAGACCACCTATGCTTGCTCAGGTCGTTTGTATCTGAAAACGCCTACTCCAATAGTATTTTTTTAATATACCTATCATAACATTTTACTAAATATTTTGATTTAATGTTATTTTTATACTTTTTACGTCAAGCAATTAGCATATAGCAGATAAAACTAAAAATGAATGAATTAAATTCCAGTTTATATTTGAACAAAATACATAGCAATTTTCGTTTGGGGGTGTCAATTCTAAACAACTTATGAGTGTCTGCTTTATAAATTAATTTAATAGCTGCAATTATAGGCACTTAATTATCACTTCTATTTTGTTTTCCAAATAAAGATATAAAATTGTTTTTAACGGCAAATAAAAATTAATAGTGACTATTTGTTTCGTAAATTTTAATAAGTCATTAAGTTACACTATAAAGTATTGTCTAAAATATTATTGTTTTATATATTTAACACATCACAGCTTTATACACTAATAAAAACACAAATAATAAATAAACAGTTTTTTTTGATAAAATTATCACATATTTTATAAGAAGCAATTAGTCTATAAAATATGTCTGCGTACTTAGTCACAAAAAAAAAAAATAAATTAATCACTTAATTATTAATTTTCAAGGTTCATTGTCCAAAAATTTAATTAAGCAATTAAAGCATTAATGTATGTACTATAAACTATTTTTATGAGAAGATAATACAAGTTTAGAACAAAATTTATGGCAGTATGGGAAGTGAAATAAGCACTTTATATGCACGACAGATGCAGAATAATTAATTTTTTCTGCACAAATTGTTAATCAAAAAAATTAGAAAAATATTTAATAAAATAAGGTATTTTAATAGACTCGTGCCCATTAAATTAATAATTAATAATAATTTTATTTTGAAAATTTACAATAAAAATTAATTAAATACAATTTTGAGGATGATGGTACAGTGTTATTAATTTGAAAATATTTGATGTTGTCCATATATATATTTTATCAGACTTAAAACTCAAGTTTTAACGATCCTACTGGAATCGTGAGGTATCAGAATGAACAAATTTGGTTCAATGTATCGACTGCCCGTGTAATTTATAGCCACGTTTACCTATCTAGTTACCTAGAACTCCGATACTAGCTAATATATATATATAAAATATAAACGAAACATCGTGTCTTTTTTTGTGTATTGGTTGTGCTACCATTAACGGGCGTGGTAACTAGCAGGTAAATGTGATGCTCTATGGTACGCGAATTAATGTTCATTAACTGAATCACCGTTCAAAATTGCTTCTTATCATTGACATGTTTCACTCAAATTTCTGAGTGAATTTGACTATCTCTGAAGGCAAAATTATATATAAATGGAATAAATACTGCTCCAATGATATCCTGAGTTTGTATTGTAAAGAGCATATTTTTTTGGGTTTACCGAGTTAATGAATGAAACTTAAATTAAAACTAAGTTTTTCTAAAACTTAGTATTTTAAAAAACAGCTTTGGCAACGGTATCATTAAAACATTAAAGCAAAGCGGGACTACTTTAAAGATTGAATAAACGTTTAAGATTAAATAAACATTTTGTGATAAAGTTCCTTTGTTCCTTTCGTTTTTATAGCATTTCGTATATACAGTATTATGGATTTTTATACCGATTTTTTCTATTCTTTCGCCAAGAAAGAACTTGAATGTGTTATAAGGATTTCACTATATCATTAAATCATATTATATATAAAGAATAGTAATATTATTAGGTACTTCTTATATTTACAGTATTATATATACACTTATGAGTTTTAAATAGCAGATCCACAAAATGTAAGATTCAAGGCTAGAAAAGATACGCTTTATACTGTCTTTCATTAAATTTGGAGAAACACTCTAATCCAACTAAGGGGCACAATAGATCTTTTAGCTATTCTAAGTAACGGAAAAGTTGATAAATATATAGATTACTAAAATTAATACTTAAATGCGTCCACCCTGAAAATCGAAATCGTACCAGAATAATATGCTTAAGGAACTTACTATAAGTTCTTGCGATAAATCCACGGAAAATCTGCTAAATAGGTTCAAATTATTTAAAAACTTTTCTTTAAAGGGAGATCTATATTCTTTATTTTCAAATCATCAATACTTCATCTTAAAAGCTAGTAGCTAGTAGAGTAGCCGGAGAGGCTGATAAATATAGTTTATTAAAATTAATTGTTAAATGGATGTGTCTTGGACATCGAAATCGTACCCGAATAATATGCTTAAGGAACTTACTATAAGTTCTTACGATAATCTACGGAAAAGCTGCTAAGCACATTCAAAGTGTATAGAAACTTTTCTTAAAGGAAAGATCTATAGCCATTCCTTTTTTATTGAACCTTGTCAGTGACAATTTCGATTTGATAATTCGTAAGCAAAGAAGTTTCTCTTTATACATAGGAATAATAAGTACCTGTATAAAATGGATATGATAGTTAGAAGATATGAAGATTAGAAGATATAGTTGGAACGTGTCTTTTAAATTCAGGAAGTTATCAAATGTTAAAAAACCGAATAAAAAAATTATATAAATTAATAATTACAAAGAATTGTATAGTACATGACAAAGAAGTAAATAATTTCAATACAAAGCAATGCCATTAGCTCATTTTGAACATGTGTTCAAATTCATAACACATGACATATTGAAAAAAGTGTGTTCATTCACTCGTCAGTATGTTTGTATAAATAAAGCACATACAGTTTATAAACATATAATTCATATTTTATTAAAATTAATTATTTATATGTGATTGGAATACGATAACGGCAAGAAATAACCTTCAACCTAAAAACGGCATGAATATTTCAATATTTCTAAAGTAGCAACCCTTCATCAAAAATAATTCTAAAGCACGATGAAAATATATTTTAAATGCCATAAATATATTTACAATATTCAAAAATATACAGATACTTATTTTATTAACAATATTCTCGTATTATTATCATTTAATTTAAATACATAACAAAATCAAACTCATTGTTGATTACAACAACAAATACAGACGTCACCCAGATAGTACCCGTACTTACATATTTCTTATCTGTGTAAAACAGTTAATGTTATTATTAGTGGGCGCGTCTATTTATGGATTGTTTTATGGAGTGATTCAAAACTGATAAGAGTATTATCAGTCACATTTACCGGCATTTGAAATCGTTAAAGTTTACTTAAGTTAAAAATTTATGCCAAGATTGAATAATTGTAGAAACTTTTTCTATCGGAATTCTTAATCTTAATCAATTTCTTCTAAGCAACCATTAATTACATAGATTTTTAAATGAAATTACTGGTACTCACCTTCAACCAGTCGGCGAGCACAATCACAGCGGGGTCCTGTAGTGAATTGAATAATTCCGATGCAACGCGTTTCTTTTCGCGTCGATAATTTTTACGTTGCGCCTTATATGATTCTTTACGATTCAATTTCGATGTATCTGTGGGTGTCTGAAAATCAAAAGAAATTATGAAATCGTTAATTAGAAGTACATCAAAGAACTTCAAAATAATTATTTAAATATTACTGCTTAATGTACTTAAATATATGTGTTTATATTAAATCTAGAATGTTTAAAAATAAAATAAAACTACAAGCATTTAAAAATATTATTACCTATTTAATATATTATACAAATTCAATATATGTGTATATCCATTTGGTTTGTTACTTACGAAACTAAAAATCAAATACATATATTTAATTCAGTTCATATAAGAAATAACTCTAAGACCACTGTTGATGGTGTTTGACAATACTCGAAACAGCTGTATGTATGGTCAGCCAAAAATTCGATTAATTAAAATAATATAAAAAAAAAATTTGTTGTTGTAGTTTCACTATTTTTAGAAACTTCTCTATACTACAAACACTTTATAATAAATTACTTAATATTACTAACGTAATATAAATTAATAATAAAGCTACTCTTGATTCGTAGGACGCCTGATCTACTTAGTGCAGGTCCTGCTGCACAACGACTAGTTTAGATTAGATTACTGTGGCAACTAGTCCAATTAACTAACTCACTTTGACTTCATTGTGATACCACAGCTTAACACGAAAACTGAAATCATTTCATTAAATCATTTCAGGACCTTGATGTTGGAGAATAGTTTTAGTGCTGAACACTTCCATTTGCGAACTAACGACACATTTGCCACTTTAATCTCCACTTTAATATTGGAGAATAGTTTTAGTTTTAGTGCTGAATTTGCCTAGAATATCGCTCAGCTTGACACTAGAACTAAGTTGCTGCAATAAATGTCCAGCAATGTGGAATGATTTATGGTTGTTAACAACTCTTAAATAATACGGATTATAACACAGATAACAATCCAGCTATTCTATTTATTAAGTTTAATGTGTAAAGATTTTCCATGTCAGTGCTGAAGACTTCTTGAAAAGAGCTAAGGACGTATTTGCCTAGTAAATTTAGTTAGCGTTAGGCTAGAATTAGACAGTTGTAGAAAAGGCGTTTTACTGTGGTGTGACTAAGTATAGTTCACAATTCTTAAAAAATAAGAATTATAACAAAAATTACAAACTAGTTGCTCTATGCATTAAATTTGACGTCTAACGTTTAAAGATTTTTCATTTTAGCGCTGGACACTTCTTGAGTCCTTCTTCTTCTTAAGACGACTAAGGATATGATTGGCTAAAGATGGTCAGCTCAGAAAGGTGCTCCATTGTACAATGACTAAGTACCATTCGTAATTCTCTTAGCTACTCTCTTCATTAATTTTAACGTCTATCTTATAAAGCCTTAGTTATATCTTGAGTCACGAGATCTATAAGTTTGTTGTCTTCAACAATATAATTGATTAGAACGATTCATTTTTGAGATTTTCATTTGCTTGTCCTTTGTCCGTCTGTCTGTCGTTATTATATTAATGTTCTATCAAAATTTCAAGACATTTAAACAAATACAAATGGACTTATCGGAGAACCGAAAAATTAGAAATTATAATGAGGAGAAAATCTATCTTTGTCGTAAGTTTAATCAAGGTTAAAAAAAAAAATTAGTGATATAATTTTAGAATACAATAAAAACTTCATAATCTAAGAATTATAATTGATTAATAAAGCAGATTTATTAACCAGACTTTGTCAACATTAAATAATCAAATGTGACGTTAGCCTTTGATACCCAAGTTCAAATTTATTGCATTATACATTTTTTACTTAAGTATCTCCAATAACAATTTACTACGTTCTACATTTAAATCTTTTTTATTGTAGAGTGGTATGCATTTAACAAAAAAACTTTAATAATTAAAACCTTTTTAAATTGTCAAACTCAATTTTAACTACTTTATTTTTGCATATTAAAATAATACTCGCGTGTATATAAAATATTATAAAACGAATTTTTTAAATTACAAGTTTTATAATAAAAAAAACGAACTGTATTTAAATTAAGATTTAATCATTATACTAACTTAATTGGCTCAGAGAAAAAATAATCACAATATTTTAATTATTATATAAGTCATTAGGTGCAATCATATAAACGACTATGTAGTTCAAGGTAACGCAATTAAGCTATGCAGTTCAGATAACCACGTTAAAGAGCCCAGGTATTTTGGAATTTGATTAAAACATAGCTTTAATACCATTTTTTGTCAAAGTTATAGGAAATGTTTAATGATAACTTATCTGCTCACGACAGGGTTTTAAAAACTTTTAATACGTATATTTCCACAAAAACAAAATATATAGAAACCCATTTATTATCGATACAATAGATCATGATAGATATTTAATGATATAGAAGCTGACATTTTATATACGGATTTTATATTATATAAAATCTTCAACTGTAACAAATTCTTCAGACTGTATTCCTTACTGTGTAAGTGGCACATTTCAAATCTGTCGCAGCTGCGGGGAAGACGATGAGAGTAACTATCATCTACTATGTTTTTGCCCAGCTCAGCACGGCGGCGACCTAATACTCTAAGAGCTCCCTTTCTTGAGGACCTTGACCAATTACAAGACCTGACACTAAATAGCATTTTATGCTTTGTCAAAGGTTCTTGGTGGTTTTAAACCATGAATTTTTCCTATATATACGGCAACACAATGGACCAATAGGCCTAAGTGGATCCACTACGGATCGCCGGTATAACCTAACCTAACCTAAGTGGGACATTCTTAGATTTAGATTGAATCTAAAGCATAAAAGCTGTGATAACTTATCACACTATAATTACAATTTTTTAGCACAATAAAGATGTAATTGTACATACATGATAATCTAATAAAAATTATTCTACAGCTAGTTTATGATTTCGTTTTAATATAAACACAGCAAGTAAATTCGTTTATAAAAAACTTTCACAGAAAAGTAACAAAACGCCGAAAAATGTGCGAACATAAAAGTCTAGTACGGTTTTGGGTCAGTTGGTTGAGTTGCGCTGACTCTGAGCTTCAAATTTAGCAGAGCACGAGTTCTCTTCCTGGTACTTACAGTCTCAAAAAATTATTTACGAATTGTTAAATACAAGAATTATTTCCAAGACCACTGATGATGGGTATTTGGCAATACTCGAAACAGCCAAAAATTCAATTAATTAAAAATAATATAAAATTATTTTTTGTTATTGTAGTTCACTACTGTTCGAAATAGCTCTTTATAAAAATGATAATGGAATATCAAAATAACAAAATAACACCTCTTAAGTAACCGTTACCTCACCTCTCACTCATTATTCTCAAGAAAAGTATTTAGAAATAATAAATTTTGAAATTTAATTAAATTAATATTATTTAATTGATTTATAGGTACTATGTGAGAAAACAACGTTCTACCAAAAAAAATAATATGAAGATTTTGAATTAATCGACACAAACGATAGATTATGAGTATCTTGAATAAAACAAAATATTTACTATGAACACTAAAAATTGGAAAAGTTTGTCTAAAAACAGAGTTAATACAACGCCAGAAAAGCCCAATAAACGAACTGGAATTGAAAGAGCAATTCTTTAGAATAAAGACCAGAGCAACACGCAAGTCCAAATACATTCGAGAATAGCAGTATTTAGATAATAATAATTATAACAATAATAACTTTCTTTCGATATACTCGTATCATAATCAACGTATATTTTTTATGCAATAATTAAAAAAATTAATACAAAAAGCGACATTCATTTTATATATTATAATTATTTCTAATATATGCAAAATTATTTAATAATTTAATTGCATGAAATTGCTTGAACCTATGAAATAAATATAAAAAAAATTTATAAATATTTCATCATAATTATAAATGCTAATCATCAATCTGCTGAACAAATGCCAAAATTGAAAACGTTCTCAGAAAAGTCATCCACTTGACACAATTTTTAAATAAGAATTTTATCTGAGTAAGTTTTGTGCACATTTGGCACTTTTTACTTCAAGCAAAAAGATATTTAAAAAAAATTTGAAACTGATAAATAACAATAAAAGTAAAATGTGAAGCTGAAATTCGCTTTCGTGAGCCTAAATTACGATTTTATGTAAATATTGTTTTTCCGATCAATAAAACAAAACATACATATAAATTATATTGTATGAGGACTTATAGCTAACGGTTTAGTTCCGTTGTAAGCAAAAAAGTCGGATCAAATAAAGTTGCCAAAGAAAATAAAAACTATATACCCGTATATGGATAGATAGATAGGTACGAAATAGAGATAATAAGTTAATGAAATAATAAAACAAGGCATGCAGCAGACTAAAAGGCGTTGGATTTTTTCTTATTTGTTGTTTGTATTCGCGTTCAAGTATTCACTGAAGCAAAATTTATTTGTTTGCTTACTATTCGAATTTCATTCACTGCTTAGTAACAACTGCTTAGAACAACAACGAGAGAAAAATTTTACATGTACAGTCAAACTTCCATAAGTCGAAATTCTATAAGTCGAATTTTCTATAACTCGGACCAAAAATAGTGAACCAAGATTTTAGAGAGCAAATTACATATAATTCTGCCTCCATAACTCGAATTTCTCTATATCTTTTAACGATTATATATAACGATTATATTAAGCTTGGCAAAGAAATTTGTACATCAAGTTTTCCTACAGATATTATGGAGCACTATAGCTCTAAATTACTGGATAAGCGCAACGGAAAGTGAGGATGAGGGTTCCGAGGATGTCATACTTTATCATACTTTCAAAAATGAAGTAGAAGACTCATTCAATATTCTGAATTTATATTTGCAAACGACTGATACTAAAACTGATAGTGCTAATATGAATAAAGTGGAATCTCCTTTTACTGAAAATAAGAAAAAAATTAAAGTCCCAAACCCTAATTTCTGAATATTATACTTCACTATAATTTCTGTGCTTTATTTGAATGCAAATAAATTAATACCTTGAAATGTAATTCTAGTTTCTTACAAAAATAAAAAAAATAAAAAATTCTCCAACTCGAAGTCTCCATAAGTCGAAGCTTTTCTTTGTAAAATTGGACTTCGAGTTATGAAAGTTTGACTGTATTACATATACTACCTATTTGGTGTTATATTTTTTATTTATTTTATAGCAGTTGTTTTTTAGATGGTATTTTATTTGTAATTTATTTTACAACAGGTTTTTATTTCATTCATATTAGCATAAATAATATTATTAAAAAAGAATTTAACTCGAAACTATTTTAATTCATTCTATCATTGAATCAATTCTATCAATTCGTTCTATCATTATAATGCATTAATTTAATTTTAGATTCAAGCATTAACTCACTTAAAGGCCATTCATTTGTTTTCTATTCTTATCTTATTCGTTGCGTTCATATGCAAACATACATGGTTGGCTAATATAAACTATTATTAAAGCTATAATTCCATAAATCCCAAGTTCCATGTTTCTAAAATAAATAAATATAACATGTATAAAAATATATTGTTTTAGATAGATGTCTATTTGAAAAACACTAAGTACGAAATCATAATACCAATCACAATATTGTTTCTAGATTTTAGTTCTTAAATACTATTGCGATGATTTAGAGAATATTTTTATTACTCAATTTTGAATTATTTTATTATATTATTTCATATGAAAAATTGATGGCGTACATTCAGATGCAAATGCTAAAGGTACCTAAGATTTTCTAAATTTATTTTGAGATTTTTTTTTGCAACGCAGATATATAAGCAATATAGTGACTACCATTGCATTAATACGAAAGCTTGACAAAATATTTTTCGGTTGTTGACTTTTCATAAACAAATTATGAAATAATTTTTGCTTATCTATTAAATTTTTATAAAAGTCAATGAGTACTTCAGAGATATACAAAATTTTATAAAATTTATCATCATAACAAAAGTTGGCTTAAAACGTTTAGTTTAAAAATTAATTCTATTACACTTAAAAATATATATATATATATATATATATGTATAATATATATACATACAATATATAATGAAATGTATACAGATTGGACCAACATAAGAATGAAAGCACTAAGCGGTTCCATACTTCAAGAAACGAAAAATGTCGTATGCGCGATATAGAGGGTCCAATTTAAATTTGACCGAGATATAGGTCTTAAAAATGTTTACCCATAAATATATTTCAATAAAAAACGTAACATCTCAAAACGAATGCGATTTTGACTTTCCCAAAACGCCGATTTAACAACGTGTTTTAGTAATCAACTGTTTTGAGGAACTTTTTCCATTACGTGAGATACATAAGCATATATATTCGCATATATATTATTTCTCAAGATATCGAGATTTAAAGTATTAAAACTATTCCATCAAAACTACACACTCTATCTATTTTCAACTACTATATGCCATTTTTTCAATAATTACACAAATGGGAAGTATATAAATAGACGTGCCAAATTGCTGTCTTTTGTAAAATCCGTTGTCACAGGGGCATGACCGAGAAACTAGAATTATGTCTAAAACGAAGATTTTCCAAAAATTAACTTGAACTATCAAAATTTCCGAACTCGTTTAAGTATAAGAACTACATGTCAGGCATCAAACTAAGGGCTATTTAATGGACTAAGAACTAGTAGGAGCAGTTTAGAGGGAGGATCCAACCTCCTGACAATAAAAGACAATAATATCTAAAGATAATAAAAGCTCTGTAATTCCGATATATTTTTATTTTCATATTTTGGTACTAATATTAAACAGGAATTTTAATAATGAAACCTAGAAACACCAGAAAATATTATCAGCTACAGAAAAAGAATTGATAGAATTAGTTTTAATCTTTTAGCAAAGTGTGTATTGATATAATGATCTGAAAACAACAACAGTAAGTATACTTCTTTTTAAATATACATATTTGTACACATATGGAATGTACGAGGGCGGTTTGATAAGTCAATGACTTTTTGAATTTCCCGCGCAGTTAATCCAGGCAACTTTTTAATTTAGAGCAAGCTACGTCGTTCAGTTGGTGTTTGATAGCCGTTCAAAGGAGACAACCTCGTGAATTTTTACGAGGTTTTTTTTTACGTGAGTTTTCACTTGTCTAGTCACGATGGCCAAAATCCACGAATTGGGTTACGAACTGCTACCCCATCCACCATATTCTCCAGATTTAGCCCCTTGCAACTATTTTTTGTTTACAAACCTAAAGAAATGGCTGCGCGGTAAGAGATTTGAGTCGAATGTAGAAATCATTACCGAAACAAACGCGTATTTTGAGAGCTTTGAGAAAACCTATTATTTGGAGGGAATAAAAAAGAGGGAATTAGAAAAACGCTAGACTATATGTATCGAGCTAACAGGTGATCATGTAGAAAATTATTATTTAATATGTTTTTGGGTAGGTGTGTATGTTAGCTTTATTATATTGAAGTCGCTTTGTAGCAGTTGATGAGATGGCTCATGGTTTGAGTAGTATATCCACATTTGGGGCATGTTTGTTGTAGATCCCTATTAGATCCCTATTATTATTATTTGTATGTTCATTTATGTAAAAATTTATGTGAACTTTTTATTTTTAATAAACTCACTTTAAAAAGTGATAGTGAAAGATATGAAAATTATATTTTTTTTATAGTTTTTATATGTTAAATACATATGAGCTCCTTCCTATATAAAATGTCAAATGTTATAACCTTTTCGATTTTTCATTACAGCGGAATGTTATAACAGGGGCGTCAAGTTTGATAACAGCTGTTATAACATTTTGCCCTAATGAAGAAGTCAAAAATAACTTGATAAGTTAACAATTTTTATATGAAAGAAAGCAGGGAAAAAGTATATAAATAAATACACACAAAAAAACTACAAAAAAAACTGTTTTTATTAAAAAGTTTATATAAGTCATTATATGACACACAAATTATTAACAGAAAGTGGACTCAAAACAACTTAGGCAACTATTTAAGTAATTATAAGTATTATTATATTACGAGACTACTATATATGATTACTTAGGTAGTATATTGATACTAATTCCAGTTGTTTTAATCATTTGTTAGGCTTTTAATGGATGTGCGCACCTTTGACGGTTTCGTTTTGTTCCATATAATTTAAAGGGCAACAAGTCTATGTCTTAGATGGTTAAATCTACTGCTGCTTAGTGAAGGGCATACACAGAGAATACATTACAATTGGATTGTATAAAATATTAAAGGAAGACTATTATACATGATTACTTAGGTAGTGTATTGTACTAATAACTCAGTTGTTTTAATCGATTGTTGGGTTTTTTTTGGTTGTGCGTACCTTTGATCGTTTGTTTTTGTTCCATATATTATAAAGTGCAATAAGTCTGTCTATCACATGGATAAATCTATTGCTGCTAAGTTTAAGGCATACATAGTATATACATTATAATTGAATTATATGAATTATTAAAGGAATACTATCTGTTGCGTACCTGTTGGCACTTTTGGATTGCCATATTAATAAATTTATGTACAAAAGAAAAAGTATCTTATTTATGTATGTATGTAAATATGCTCTTCTAAGAGAATTCTAACTTAATTAATTAAATACAATTATTTATGCAAAAATAAATATATAAGAAAAAAATAAATAAATAAACAAATAGTAGTGCACTTACCTTATCTGTTTGATTGCCATCGTATTTATCACGCGAGTCTGTTGCCCAATTGGCAAGTCCTAGAAGAAATTTCATGTTTTTTAATGTTAACAACAAATATCGCAAAATGTGAGCAATAATTTAGGTTGATTTTGTTTTAAATTTAAAATTTGCATTTAAATTTAGTTGAAATTTATAAAAAAAACTTTTTGTTTGCTTTTTTAATTTATTTATTTTTTTTTTTTTTTTGTTTTTGTTTGTTTACATATTTAATGTTTGCAAAAGAGTTTATTTACAATTTTATTATACATATTTTTTTTTTTGGTTTTTTTTTCTATTTTATAATTCAAAAAAGGTGTATACAACCTAAATTTTATTATACAATTTTTTCATGTTAAGTTTAAATATTTAAAACATTGCACAATAACAACAACACACAACTAATAAGCATGTATAATAAGTATATACCAAAAATTTAATAAGAAAAAAATCACAACAAAATATTTGTGGTCAAAAATACATTAAAAACTTTGAAGATTAAAAATTGTTTAAAAAGTTAAGAACTTCAATATGGCTTAGTCTTAAGGCATCTTTGGGTACGCAGCAGTTTCGTTTGAAAGCCAAATCAATTCTTGACATACTGATGCACTTCACTTCACTTCACTTGGATGTACTAATTCAATATAATGTAATAATTTGTTTTCATTTAGAAATATTTATTTTCTGCAGTGAAAATAAATCAATGAAAAAAAAAACATATATAGAAAGACGATTAGTATCTATGCAAATAATATATATATTACAAAATTTTTTGTAATTATTTTGGCAAAGTAAAAATAATTATAAATAATTGCTAAGTATAAAATTAGCAAAAATGGGTAAAAAGCATTTTTTTTTATTTATTTATTTTTTTAATTTGTGTTTTTTATTATGAAAACTATTTAATATTATTTACACATTTTACACTGCACATTGAACTCAGAGGGAAAAAAAAATTTTTGCAATTGACACAAAAATTCTTAAAGGCACGAGTTGAAGTTGAAGTTGTTTGCTTAATGAAATTTTTCTTTTTTTTTAATTTATTTTAATTTTTATTAATTGAAGTGAAGTATATAAATTTATCACATTTATCTATATAAACTAGCGCAGCAGTACATAAAATAATCTTTAAAAACAAGCGAAATCAAGAGCAAAAACTGATATTTTATTTGCGTGTTACGTGCGACGGACTACTACGGACTACGGACTACTACGGCCGATAGACGTCGATGGGCGCTCGCAAACTGACTGAAATATTGTATGTAGAATTTATATGCGAACGAGCCAAAAAACCAAAACAATATTTAACTAAAAGGCGGCTCTGCGACCAGCAACAAATTTATTATTCATATGTGTGTTAAACGAAAAACGAAAACGAAAACAAAAAATTAAAAACACTAACAATAACAAAAGAAAAAAATATAAATAAATAAAACTAAAATTTTTATAAAAACAATAACAGAAAAAAATATATAAAAAATCCATCGAATGTTGTTAAAAGCATATAATGAATTTATGCAGTACTACCTAGTACGTAATTAGCAGATAAATTTAATGTTTAAATCACGTATCTTTCGCGGGAATCAAATTATTTGCAAATTAAATTTTAATTTGAAATGTGAATTAACTTTAAAATAGTTTAGGTTTGCGAATGCCTGTACAAGATAAACTCCTACACGAGATTCGAGATACGATATCTGAATAGAGATAGATACTGCAGAAAACAAGATATTATCTTGTCAATTATTTGTGTTCGTGTTAGTTAAGAAGGAAGATAGACTGAAAGTATTTACTCTCTAATTCATACAAATGGCAAATGCTTTAGATTTAACAATAGAAAAATATTGATAACAGGTATTTTAAGTAAACGCTGTTAAAGTTAGCGCTTATAAGACGCTATATATATAAACATGTAGCTAGTTAGTTAAATACCAGTAGCAGTGGACTAACGTCTTATAGAAAAACATGCGTAGTTAACAACTTAAACATTTTCTCAAGAAATTGTTTGTAAACCAAACCAGTGGCGCATTCAGAGGGGTTAGATCCCCTCTTAAGAAATATAAGCGGAAAAATGTAATACATTTTATATGATCGAAACAAATAAGAGCAATAAAAATATTTTTAATTATATTATTACACAAAGTTGATCGATGCACTCTTGATGGTTAAGATGAATAATATCAAACTTTCGTATGGAAACGTCAGATGACACCTAAAAACAATCAGTGTTGTTTTTTTATAATTCTATTAACAGGAAATTTCGATAATATAAACATTAGAAACATTAGAGAAACTTGTCAACTGGTAAAAATAAAGTTGCGACTCGACACTTTTAAGCGCCAATAATAGACGGAGTCAAGAAGATTTCAATCTTTAGAGTAAACGCGTTAGAGACTTTCTTCTTGATTCTTCTTCTTGAGTTAGTGCTATTACGCACTTTTACTCCATAATGGCTGGGGGGCTTATCTTTACCCCACACTAGGCTTTAACTAGGCTAAGAAATCATATCATTTATTTGTATTTTAGTTGATGACGGACCTTAAATCAACATATCTTCCTGAGAGTCCAGAAGTGGACTTGAGGATTGTTAGGGCGGGGTTATAGACTTTCAACTTTCAAAAAATTTTGCCCTGATATTTTTAATCTTTTTGTTTTTCATGTACTAAGGAAAAACTGATGATGATTAATTCTTTTTTGCTCTCTTTTATTTATAATCATAGGCACTCAATTATTTCTTTCTCTCACTCTCAATTATGAAAGTATGAATTATTATGAAATCTATGTATTTATGAGTTGTATTGTACAGATTTCTTTGCTCGAGTTTAGATATTATGGGATCAGATTAAGAGCACTTCTCTAGATTTAGTTCTCGACTTTGTTCACAAAGCTCTAAAGCGCTTTGTGTAATCAATAATGAAATTGGTAGAATAGGACTTTTCTGGCTCCAGTACCGATTGTTGGGTGATTTCACGTCAAAACTTTTATTAAAAATAATAAAATGGGATACTTTCGCCACTATTGATATAAGTCAATTCTGAAATAATATATGTAAAATATGGGTCGATGGTAAGAGATACTTCTCTAAACCTATTGATACATATTTAACAACATGACTAATTAGACTACGAGAATTGTCTTAGAGTTTATTTCGTCTCTAAAACAAGAAATAGCACGTAATAAACAAGTCAATTTATTTGAAAAAACAAATTGTCAACTGGATCGAATAATATATTTAAAATATGTGTCGATGTTAAGAGACACTATTCTGATCCCATTGATACATGTTTAACTAGGAGTACAGAAAAACATATTTTTAAAATTAAATCAATCATTAATCCTCATAAAAAGAAATTCTGAGTGTATTGACTTCAAATTCGATCTTATCGATAGTGAACACAGGGAGTGATTTATAACTGGTGAAAGTATAGAGTCACGACTGTTTCTATGAAAAAAGAATTCTTCTATTCGAATTAGTTTTAGTTTTTAATCAAAGAGTATACTTAAATGAAGTTTTGAACATAAAACAAGACAATAATGTTATCTAAAAAGAATAAAAATACTACTTTCTATATACACCTATGGATATACTGTATATAATAAAAAAAAACTGCTTGACTAATTCGCTAATTTTTATTAATTTCGTCAACTACAGAAAAATTTCGACAAAAATATTGTCTAGTATTACCCCCCTCTATATTGGCACAGTTCGGACTCTGCCACACTTAACCAAAATAAACTCGAAGATACAAAGATTAAATACACTCGGCTGTCATATTTTGCATAGGCCTAGCAGTAACAAACAGGTTTAATTACTTACGTATTCCTTCACATGACAAAAGGTCATGAAGAGTCAGCTATAAACTTTACATATTACCAAAGATTAACAATGTTTTGCAAGCATTGTTATTAACATATAGTTGAAGAGAGTTTCGTTGTTCCATTTAAACAACGAATCTGCAACACTGTTTAGTGTTGCAACAATATATATAATATAATAAGTGAATACATATCGTAATGTTTTAATAGTTCAGTTAAATTTTAGCATAGATATTCTTTGAAATACGTAATATAAGCTGATCTCACTGTGTGAATGATTTCAAGATTTTAGTTAAAGACACTACAACTACATTTGTCGTCATTTATATATATGAAAAGATATATACATAAATGAGGTTATTTAGTCAATTTTAGTTTTAAAAATTTGAAACCCTTTTATTTTATTTTATTTTTATAAATTTAATTTAACATTATTATTGAGTTTGATATTTCGACTTTCTGCGATGATCATCTTCAAGAAACGGACGGTCTAATAACACATTAACAACATCAAAATTAAAAAATATTTTTTTGCCACTAAAATAAACAACTTTTGAAAAAAAATAAAAAAAATTAATTAAATGATTAAAAAACCTTTTTTTTTTAAATATGGAATCATCTTATACCACGTATTACTTAAGATAATTTGAAACATTTTTTTTAAATATTACAGAAATAACAATGACTATGTATTACTAAAGATAATTTAAAACACATAACAGAAATATTAAATCATATATAAAAAAATAAAATAAATATAATATTGAATTACACCTAATACCTATTAGATTATAATGTAATAAAATACACTGGATTATAATGGACACTGGATTGTAAAGCTAGACTTGAATATAAATTAAAAACTCTGTTTACTAACAGAGTGACGAAATTTTGTGACTGGATCGGCACAAAATTTCGTCAAATACCTTTGATATATACGATTTTACTTATTTCATAATAAGACTCTTTTGGACAATGGAGTGCAAGGGACGGCTCTTACAGTAATTTTTTTATGAACGCAATTCATATAAATAATAAGTTTTTTAAAACTAAACTAAACAACAAAAGAAGCTGGGAGAGCATCAATCAAACCTACCAACTAAACGAACAGCACAATCGCATGGTTCACTGTCGACTCTTTTACGGAGGAAGGTGCCGGAGCGGCAATAGTCGGACCAGGCAAAAAGTATTGGGAACCGCTGAGAAAAAATACTAGCATTTTCCA